AGTTCAAAAGCGGTTGCACGTGAGTACTAGGTGACAGCTTTTGCTTTTGAATTGCTTAAGCCGACACGTGAGCGAAACGAAAAGGAAGTGAAAGAAAGCATTTGCCATTCATTCATCAGATAAAAGGTAATTTTAATTACCGTTTTCAGTAGTTTTACCCCTACAACAACAACTCTTGAAAAGGGATGCAAATTTATGGCAGCAAGATTTACTTACATTCTTATGCACATACATACATATGTACATATACAATCTCAAAAATTACTTATAATCGTTCACTAAAGCGTTACGTATAATAATATATTTGTACATACGTACCTAGGAATATGTGGCATCATAAGTACCTATTCCAGAGTGTTTGCTAGAACCGAAGCTGTGCTATACAATTTTTAAATTTTTGGCTGTTTTATAAGTATTAGTTGCGTTCCCTAACTCGCAAGAAGTTTCATGATATTACCAGAAACCGTTCCCGTACTCGGTTCTCTGGAAAAGTAGGGAAAAAATGGGAGATTAAAATCGGTCCCGTCTTAGTCGATAGTTTTAAAACGATATTTTTTGGAATCGATTGTATCCTATCGAATCTTTAATGTACATTACAAAGTTAATGTTATTAATAATATATTGTACTTTATATTAACAACCAATTTCACGAAAGCAACTTAAGTGGAAAATGATTAAAATTTTTTCAAAACTTGTATGGAAATCGACAGAAAAAAAAAAAAACATTTTCCACTTAAATTGCTGGTGGAACCGACTGTAAAAATAATTGTCTTTTCTGAAATTCGTATTCGTATCTCCAATCTGTCGTGGCGGGACATATTTGTATAATTTTTTTTTTTTTTTGGTAATCTTTGAAATATTTAAGGTTAATTGTCCAAGTTACAAAATGTAAAAATCTTTCTATTGGTTTTTAAACTAACTTTTAATGCAAATAAAATAATTTTATGTCGAATATATTTTTTATTTTGGCTTCAGCGTTACCCAGCGGTTCCATTTTTTTGCAAATCTATATCATACTACGACCTTCGGCTGCAAACGTCCATACGTCGATACTTTAGAAGTCAACTGTATAGCAATATGGATATATTTTGAACTTTAAAGAGCACAAATTTGTACTGTCTTAGGTTAGCATGTGGCAGGATTTCAACCCGCGTCTTCGGTGATGTCAATTAACACGCTTAACTTTACATAAGCAAACACTTATTAAATCGCAAAGTGTTAATTATTTATTAGAAAATGAGACCAATATTTAGATACAATTTTTTGAATTTTGTATCGATATTTGGAATGTCGAGTCTTTTTATTCTGATTTGAATGGGATCCTGATATTTTTACAGCGATACTTTAAATGAGCACTATATCGATATTTTCGGTTAGAAATCGTGTAAATACATAAGCATGAGGAAAATGTTGTACATATACATACATACATATATATTTTAAAATATAAATACTGCAAGTGTGCAATCAATTTCCCACACTTTGAGCACTTCAAAACGCTTGAAGTTCAATAAATTTTGTATCACTTTTTTGCAAGTAAACGTCGAATAAACAAAACATAAATGCGAATTCTTATATGTACATACATATGTATGTATGCATGTACATTAGACTGCATCACTCCCCATACAAAAAAAAATTGGTATTGTGTTTCCATTGAAATTATAAAATCTGTTATATTTTAAGATGTTCACAAAAATATTTCGGAAAAATATTAGAAAGGTAGGATGAACGAACGTTATTCTAAGTTGAATTAAGATGTGTTGATATTTGAAAAAAAAAATGGGACACGAATGAATTTTTTTGGAGAGAAATAAAAACAGTGGGAAACACATTTCTACTGAGATCCCTTAAGTCTTAATCAGAATAGTTTTGGCCCAGTTATTCAAGATTTTCGTAAATCAATCTTCGAAAAAATTAAAAAAAAACCAGCATCAAAAATCTCATTATTACAATTCCGTTAAAAAGATTTTTAAATATTTCTATGCCGATTTTTTAAGCTTAATCTGTTTTGTCATCTGAGGGGACTTTTTTAAAAAGTTCTTAAAGAAACTATTTTTATTCATAAAAAAACTTAATTTTTTGTTTTTTTTTTAAAACGGTCCAGCTCACTTTTTTTGGTGGTGCAGTCTAATGTACATACATATATTCTAAACAAAAATAGTATGCTATTAAATAAGTAATACAAAAATTTTAGTTTCTATTTCTTCGGTTTTGTATTTGTATGCCAATAAAGAAAAATATTTTAAATCAATTAATTGTATATAAGTGCACAAATATATGTACATATATGTGCAATATTTATGTATAATATTTAACAATTTCACAAAATTTTGCAAACAAAGAACTTGTTTACAATAACCTCGACTTTCTTAGTGATTGGTCGAAGAGAGCTATATTAATTATTGATACAGACATTCCATTTTTGCCCCACTCTTCCCACTAAACATCTTGAAATGTACCGAAAATATTTCAAAAATACTTTGCTCTACTCTTTTTTCAAATGCAAATAATGTGCCACCATATTTTCAATCAACAACCAAATGTGATGTATTCGAACAAAATCGGAATGAAATGTTGATTACTCATACGCCCTGTGCAACAAATTGCCGTTTGTTGACCTGCGATTTGTTGGCAATTTGCCATCCCGAGTGTAGGTGCTTACGTTTAGCAATGAAATGCATATATCAGCATACATGAATTTTTTGATGAGTTTTTGCCGTTGCCCTTCAAAATCTAAGATTTTGTGACTAATTGTTTTTCAATTATCCTGTATACCAAACTCACTCGAACACATAAAACCCGTTATCATAAATTCGGTAACTTCGGTCTATGTATGTATGTATATAGCTACTATTAATTAAAACAAATTGACATTTATGATTAGACAATAAAAGGTTTTTTATAAATGCTTTTAAAGTAGTTGACGATGCGAACGAGCCCCTATTTTTTTTATCACTTAGCTTATCGCATTAGTAATCACATTTTTACTACATACTACTTATATATGTATAAACAGAAAGAGAGTATTGAGTTGTAGTAATTAATAGCGTGTACGATATCATAATTGAGGGTAAACAAAAATTTATATACATACATACACACATAATGCTTGAAAAGTATTATTTACATTGTAAACTCCTTCCGTTTCTGGTTTTGTCAAAGTAATATGTATGTAAACAGCTTTTCTTTAAGTCTACTGTGTCTGATACAATAGAAATAGTGCTGGGCATACTTAAATACTTTTTTATTGAAAGTACCGGTTTGCATACTATGTAAATACCCATATACAACTTAATGTTTAAAGATTTCTTAAGTAAAAAAAATTGGTAATTTAGAGATGCCCAAAAAAATTTCGGGTGCTAAATACTAAAGTAGAGGTTCAGGAAAAAAGGAGTAATCGGTAATTTTTGTTTTATTTTAATTTAGAGATTGACAGTTTAGTGAAATGCTTCGTGTTTTTCAAGATTTTCTTCGAATATTTTGAGATTTTTTAGGGGTTTCACGGGATTTCTTTGAGAACTTTAGGGTTTTTCTGGACATTTCTTTGGAAGTTTTGGATCTTATGATTTTTTGTAAAAACTTTGAGAGGTTTTTCTGAACTTTTCTTTGATTATTTCAGGATTTTTGGAGACTTCGGGATCTTTCCAGTTTTTTGTAAGAACTTTGGGGTGTTTTTCTGGACTTTTCTTTGGGTTTTCAGAAGTTTTCGGGATTCTTCGGGTCTTCGGGATCTATCGGGAATTGAAGATTTTTTTCTGGATTTATCTTTGTTTTTTTCAGGGCTTTTCGGGATTCTTCGAGCCTTTTCTATCTTTCGAGTTTTTTGTAAATACAATTTTGCTTATAACTGAAACTAACATATGGCGCATTTTGCATCAAGCGAACACTGAAAAAAGGTGATGCTCTAGAATTCCTTCATATTTTGGTTAATTGTACCTGCGTAAAATATGAAATTGTGTGCATATTTTTTTCTTTATATGATGGTTACTTTTCGAGTTATGGACTTTCAAAGAATAGTAAACATTAAAAATAGGATTTTTTTGAAGTATTTTTTCGTATTGAAAAAAGATTCAAAAAATTAGTAAACTTTACAATTTTGTGAGAAAATTTCTCGCTTTTCTTTTATACCACACCGGAATTGGAAATTTAAAAATGAAATTTGAGAAACTTCGAAAATTTTTTTGTTTTCAAAGTATACGTTCAAGTAACGTTTCTCCTGTAGAGTTGTACGACTCTTTAGAGTATTATGACTATACCTGAGGCTATATTTTGCAAAAAAAAAATTTTTTAATTTTCACTTCCGGTGTGGTATAAGAAACAAAATATTGATAATTGATTTCGCATTTTTAAAAGCGAGAAATTCTCCCACCAATTCGAAAAAATTTAATAATTTTTTTAACTTTTTTTCAATACGAAAAAATACTTTAGCAAAAACTTAATTTTAATTTTTACAATTCTTTGCAAGCCCATAACTCGAAAAGTATTCATATAAAGAAAAAAAATATGCACAAAATTTCATATTTCACAAAGGTACAGTTGCCCAAAATATGAAGGAATGCTAAAGCATCACCCTTTTTTCCCCGACCGCTTGACGCGAAATGCCCCGTAATATGTAGTATGTATGTATGTACATATATCGTGTACCTGCGAACGGTTTGAATGAAATATCTAAAAGCCCTTTAAAGTTAGTCACTCGAATTCCCCAAATGATACCCAAAGTCAGCCAAAGGCCGACCACTTGCCTAGTTATTATTTCTAAAGCATGTTGCAGCAGGTAGAAAATTTTCAAGAAATGATCAGTGCAAACACACAAAAGTATTGTAATGCAGAAAAAACTATGTCTATAGATAAGTTACTAAAATATAGCGTAAAATAAAATATCTGCATTTTAATTTCGGAGCAAAACAATGCCAAGCCAGCGATGATTTTAATATGTTTTATACCAAAATAATAGCAACAGTGAATCGCGCCAAAGTTTGTAAACCTTAAAAAAATCAGCCGAAAGAAACCAAATATATATATAGTGCGTGTATACACTTCATACATACTTACAATGATGAAATTATGGACTTTTGTTAATTAAATGCATTTAAATCTCGTACGATAAACTCACGCGCACTTGCAATCGTAAACTTGCATATATGGAATTGATCGGTAGTGAGCGATGCCCAACGGAAATCGAAAGCGGCCGGATACGCTGGAATTAGAGGTGCTAGGAGCGCGCCAAGTCGAGTCTTCCGATGATGAGGAATGTGCGGTCACAGCTCGTGTTCTACCAAAGTCGCATCAAAAGCATTATCAGCTACAACCAGAACAAGAGAAGCACTCGCCAAAGCCACAATCCTTCAATGCCGACAAATTGGAGAGCACATCCGATGACAATGCGCGATCGTCGGTGTCATCGCCACAACCACAGCTGCATACACAGTCGAAGGCGTCGCAAAAGACGCGTCCCCATCGATGGTTTCATCTACGTCGAAGACCACGAGCCGCCCCTGCAGACACGACGGAGCTCACACATCTACCTGCGTGCGAAATCAGTGCCACAAATACCGGCACTACGAACACTGCCACCGCATCGCTAGCCAAGCCCGAAACACCAGTCATCGCCAACTCGACCACCACCATCACTACAACGCTGCCTACAAGTGTGACAATACCCGACGTTGCAGCTGTGCTCCCGCGACACGACTCCAAAAAGCGTCGAACTCGCACACAAACCGATAGTCTCTACAGTCTCGCTACGCTTGCTCAAACGAACGAGATGCAACGAGCACATCAACACTCCGAACCGAATGTGTCCAGAGCGCTAACCAGTAGTACGGGTGACCACTTACCGTGGTCATGTTCGATGGCCAACGCAAATAGCACACAAGAAGAAGCAGAAGCGGCAATTTATTCAAACGATGACACTGTCACTATCCAACAGGCGACTCGGGCATTTCACGAGCTTGGCGGCCGCGAACATATATTGCTCACTTCTGAGCTGGCAACGTCAGCGGAGGAAGTGATCGAGGGCGTAATGCAGCCACCAACGAAAAGTTTCAAGGCGTGGCTAATGTCTGTTTTGGGCAAGTTGTCTGGCTGGAAGCGCAGAGAGTGCGTTCGGCGACGTTCTCGTTCAACGCACACCGCAATGGACACGGCGGCGGCGGATGATGCGGCATTTGGTGGCAATGGAGGAGCGGAAAGCTTAGGCGAACATAAAAGTCTGAACGCTAGTGGCGACTTAGAAGCATTGTCAGCAACGACGAATACAGTAAACGGCGCTGGCGGTGGAAATGGCATATTTGCTAACACCAAGGACAAAGGAATACGTCGATTGTCACAGATGCGACGCCGGCGCAGCTCATATTACTTTTCTGGTAATTCATTTAAATGTTAAGTAGTAATGCTTATAAAAATCACTTAAATAAAAAGTAGGCAATATTTAAGGTTATATTGCGGTGGTTGCTTCAGACTTGAAACTTTTTCTCTTTTTGATATCACCCACCATGTTTAAACGGTAATCACTAAGTTATTAGAAAAAAAGTAGTAATAGCACTCACTCTTTTCGAGGATACCCTTCCGGCCAGCTCATCCACCATGTCTTGATTGTCGCTTGGTCATAAAAATAGATGCTTACCTCTCCTAACTATTCCACACAGTTAAGCAACATCGACTGCAGTATGGAACGCACTTCAGGGATCCGAAAGCATAAAGTTGTTGATAGACAGCTATCAGCAATATAACTTAACCCTAGAACCCATACGGGGTGCGTAGACCCCAGTACAAACCAAAGCTCTCATTTATTTATTTTGATATGGCGGTATTTTTAGTGTTTGCCATAACTTTTTGTTAATAATTAATACATCCAACTAAAAAAATGGTTTTAAGGATGCCGTTTTTAAGTTATTGGGGTGTACAGGAACCCCAAATAGATTTACGCAACAAATAAAAGGTATGATTTGTATGGTTCAGGGGATGTGATTAGTGAACCAGAGGCTTGAAACCGGTTTAGTCTATATACGTGATCATCTGTGTTATGAGGATGAAACCGAAACTTCCAAGCATCCAGCGACTGAAACAAGTGTTCACATTTTTATTTCTTTAAGGTATACAAGGTTTTTCAAGTTTAATTTTTTGTTTTGTTTTGTGCTTTAACCAAACCATATAAATCAAAGTTTCAAACTTTATTCAAAATTTAGAAAAATTCAACAAAAATTTCGATCTTTTTAATCTGAATTTTTAGAATATTAATAAATTTTAACGTGGCAATTTTGGCTAAGATAGTTGAAAGTCTTTTGCAAGACAATTGAAAGAAAGTCGGCAAGAATTTTTGAAAGCTTTTGTTTATTCTGGCATGAAGGTCTTACAAAAAGGCTTACATGCCAACTTTCATGTTGAAAAGCTCTTCTGACAGAAAGCACTTGTATATCATTTTGCTCGCGATGCTTCAACAGCCGCAATGGCCGAGTGAACAAAGCGCTGGCATACGATTCGAGTTCGGTCGAGTTTTAGAGCGCTGGAATTTTTTTTATTTAATTTTTTTTTTAGTTTTTAGATTTTGTTGTTTTGAAGGTAAAATTTTAAAAAAGAAAAATATTTATAATTATTCCATTTAATTTTTATGAACTCATTTAAATTTTTCTTTATTAGAATAGACCTGTTAATGTGCGCATGTGGAGCTTTTAATAGTTGATCTCAATAAATTTCTTAAGTACAGACCAATTATGCTATCGAGGTTGATCAGCAAAAACTAAGCAGGACTTAATTATGACATTTATCCACATTAATATAAAAAATCTTCTAAAGAATTGAATGTGTTTCTTTTAAAATTCACCTTAATTTGTGGATTAATCGTAAAATTTACTATTAACGCTCCCCAAGAAAATTAATTGCTATTTTTCCTAATATCGTAAATTTTCACTATATTTAAAATATAAACCATAAATAGTTGAATATTTTTTTACTGTGTATATGGGAATTCATTGAAACTCTACATAAAATGTTTATTTCGAAATGGGCTCTCAAATACTTTTGACAGACAAAATCAGAGCTATCATTAGTTATATTTTACGAACATGCGGTATATTAAATAAAAGATAAACAAAAATTTTGCTTAATTGGCGTGCAAACCTCTAATAATATGTTTTTGTAATCTATTCCAGAGAATGAACGCAGAATTCGAGCCAACGACCGAGAATTTAATGCACAATTTAAATACGCCGTAAGTACATACATACATACATACATACATATATATTATATAGATTTTTCATACAATATTATTCAGAGACTATAATTTCCACACCTTTTCATCGCCACCTACAATATTTACCATAAAAAAAAAAAGAATCAACAATGCTGTTTGCTAGACGAGCCCTGCGGCAGACGCATTAGGCAAAAAAAAAAAAAACAAAGTGCATTGTGTGTTACCATTTGTAACCCCATTCAGACAGTGGCTGCTTCTAAGCAAATAGATAACGATTCTATGGGTATAAATATGCAAATCGTATGCTATGAATGTAGGTACAAACGTATATTCAAATACGGTCATTGGTGGATTGATAAGTAAAGCGGCATAAGAGCAAATCGAAAATATATGAAAGAAGGCTCAATGTTCGGAGAATAGCAAAAACGTGCAGTTTACATTGGCAAAGGAAAATAGTTTATGCGACACTTTATTTTGCGCGTTGAGCTGAATAACAGTGGCTTAGATGGACTTAAGTGGTTCCATTTTAATGGAAACGTTATTGCCCTGCAACATTCGGCTGGAAAATATCGAACACTTATCTTTTACTATTTTTTTTTTTTTTTTTTTTGCAATTTCGCATTACATTTGCTGCATTTCCATTTATCCGCTCTTTGTATGTACTTTTGTGCCTGCATACCTTGGAGAGTGGTCATATGCCGCTTATACTAACTAGCTTGTCATTGATCTTTGCGACCAATAGCGCTGACGGCTAGCGATTTGTTGGACTAATTGGCGTATTGACATTGAAAAAAAGACATAGTAAACAATAACACGCAGACAAATACGCACGTGTAGACGAATAAATTAAAAAAGCTGCGGCGAAAATGCACAAAATAAAAATTCACAAAAAATAACAAAAAAAAATAGGAGAGAGAAAAGCAGAGCATATTTATTAACACAAATGAGACTGAAAAAATGTTTCGGGTTTTGCGGCATGCGTGCGTCTTTCTCAGTAAAAATACAGAAGACATTTAAAAATGCCATTGTATAAAGCCTATGACGGCTAATTATATTTTTGGTGTTCACACTTGCCTGGTTATCAGGTCATTTGGTTAAAAGTTATTATTCTGTAGTGTATTTTATTGTTCTAAGCTGAATAAAAAAATATAACCTGTGATCAGGTTATGATGAAAATACGATTTTTTGTCTTCAAAATTCGCACGCGCTTTAGGCATTTGTTCACATCTCTGAATTGCTGTGAGAGCTCGTAAGAAATTGCTTTAAAATCTTAAAAAGTCGTAAACGAGTTAACTTCAAAGTCTACTAAACACCCGCATTGTGTGGGTGCCAGGCCATAGAGATATACAATGTTACCGTACAGTCAACAAGTTTGCGAGGAAGGGAACCACCCTTTCTGACGTCGTGTGTTTTCACGAAACAAAACATGGCTTAAAATATACTCCAGGGTGCTCTTGAGACTAGGCAAATTACACCTCTCGCTATTGGACGTAATTCTAACTGGTCATAGCACAAAGGCTGAATAGGGTCATCGATGACCCTTACTGCACCAGCTGCATGGAGGACGATGAGTTGGAATCATCTCAAGACCTGCTTCAAACACCTCGGGTCGCACTCCCGATGAACCTTCAAGAATGGATATCTGTCGCTTGAGGAGCTTCTTGTTCCTTTCCCCTCTGTATCTACCCCCCTCCTTACACCTCCAGCCGTCCTGTGTTTCCCAACAAAATGACAAGTAATAGACCACTTGAAATGAATACAAACTAAACTGCTGCCTTGTTTCTGACTTTGCGCGTTACTAAAGAGCGCTTTCATAGTCGCACTGTTGCAAATACTGCGACGTTATGGGAGTCTATGCTATATTTACTAACATGCTGTTCAGATCAGCTCTTCATTGATATCTGCCTAAACGAAGCAATGATTTATGCTCTGAGTATTCAAACAATTAAACACTCCTACAAGCTTCAAGCCTCAACTTACTTAATTTAATTTTTACTGGAAAATCCAAGGCGATGATGTATGTACATATTCAAGACTTCACATATCTTTAACTGTCCTTTATATATGGAACGTTCTATGTCAACCGGAACAGAGGTATATCCGAAAATTGGAGCAATACAAAAAAACGTTCAAGGGCTGAAAACGTTTGTACACTTTTGCTCTTTTAAAAGCAGTGCGGCGATACAAACTCACGAACTGACAAATAATATCTTTAATAAACTTTACAAAACCTTAAAAATTAAATGAAAACATGCTTTTTTAAGCAAGGTTAGGGTCTCTGAAGACAAATCTAGTGTCAGATTTTCAAAATTCTTAATCGCGGATCCATATTGTTTCTACCATTTTTAAACGAAGAGTTAAAATCGAACGTGCGTACATGGCGTATAAGTAACATTTTCATCTCACCTGAGTAACTCATACGCCATGTACGTAAGTTGGCTTTTAACTACATATTTATTCCGTCTTAAATGATAGATCCAATATGGATCCGCGATTAAGATTTTGGAAATTTGATACCTGATTTCAGTTCAACAACCCCGAAAAGCCCCGAATTTCAAGTTTCGAGCAAAAATTTTAAAATAAAAAAAAATCGTCCTCCATCTTGGTTCAGCCATTTTGAAATTTTAAAATATCACAGCAGACCTGAATTCAGCGTATCAAGTTTCGACCAAAATTTTTGACTGAAAAAAAATTTTCCTCCATCTTTGATCCGCCATTTTGAATTTTTAAAATCCGACACCAGGTTTGTATTCAGCGACCCTAAAAATGCCTAAAAAAGTACATATGCTTTCATTTCATTTTTTTTTTTAGGTTTTGTAAAGTTTATTAAAGATATTATTTGACGGTTCGTGAGTTTGATGAATTGCATAACTTCTACTAACGCCTCTATATAGAATTTCCAAAATCGCCACACTGCTTTTAAAAGAGCAAAAGTATACAAACATTTTTAGCATTTATTTTTTTATTGTTCCGGTCGACATGGAACGTCCCATATATAAATGTACGAGTACTTACAAATAAATATTAAATTTTTATTCATCAGATCTGTATATAAGAAAAAACTGTATATGTATATATACATGCATATGTCCATGTTATTATTGTGAGAGTATGCCTCTGTGTCACGTAAATATTGAATTAAACGAGCATTCACACTGTTTTCGCTATGCGAAGTTTCCACGTTTGGCAGTACATATGTATGTACATGCATACATATGTGTGTATATATTTTGCAAATGAACTACCAGTACACTTTTGATGAAGCATAAATTCACTTCATGCAAGTTTCGGTAAATGATGCATACATATTTACGTATTTACATACACTTAAACTATCCTGAAGGAAAAGTTGCTACTTTTTATCTAAAATACACGATGTTTGCTTTTCAGCTCCTTATTTTTTATCCATACTAGTATATTGGTATTAGCCAGGCGATACTAGTAGCTTTATACCTGTTAACCACGTAGTTTCTCTATGTATGATGTTTTAAAGAAACAAATCTGTTATTTTGCTGGTACTGGCTCAACAGTTACGATGACCGACAGGCTAAAGCACAAGCAATTCTATAATATTTTTTTTTTACTCTTTTGATAAAATTGTTTACAAAGAAAAAATTTCTTTTTTACTTTCATAATTTTTTGAAATGATCAATTAATTGTATTTGCTCAATTGAAATATTAACTTTGGAAAATCTTCAAAATACATACAATGCACGTCCTCGAACCAGAGCGAGATCCCAATTAATTACGTTTTAGTTTTGGCTTTCTCAAATCGAAGACATACATACAAATACATACATACAAAATTCAAAATTTTCCTTTTGATGCAGAAATGCATCTAGATGCTCTAGGAGTACTTATGCATCAAAAATAAAATTTTGAAAAAATGTCGCTTACGTTATTTTGGCTGTTAGGACTCGTTGTGTATGCCACTAAACGCATAATCTGAAATTGTTCCAAATTGTGTCGAACTGATGTGCCTCCGCATCAGCTCATGCCAGTTAATAAACGAGTCATTTTCTACCAGTTAATCTACCAGAATGTTTACTGACTATTGTGACTTTTCCCTACATGTATGTGTATTAAAATAAGTATATAAAATAAGTTTTGTGCGTGCGTTTGTTTATTATTGGCACTTTTCTAGGTCAATGGCTTTGGTGTTAGTGTTGAGGAATTTTACTGGCTAAATTACCAAATTTTTTCGTTATCACGACTGAAGTTTTATTATAATTATTCACTATTTTTGCAAGTACATATCGTCACCTGAAATGCAATGCAAAGACGGAACAAACATCGCGACTGAAATGGAAAAAGTCGTGACTAATAATTTTCTTTTCATAAAACGATGTGGATTGTTTTAATTCGATGAAATCCATCGTATAAATTAAAAAGTGAATTTTGGGTTTTTTATTAGTTTCATTCTAGATGACGATATAGTCCAAACCAATAACTTCAAACACGATTATAGAAGTGTTCAAGGAATATAACTGAATTAGCGACTATATACTATAGTATATTATTAATATTAAAATCTCTGCCGAATGATAGACATTTTCAGATTACGTCATCCTCAATTTCTTGCCTGAAATAATATTTCCTGCACTTTTTCCTTACCAAACCGAATTCAACAGACAGAGTAAATAGTGTGCTAGCAGCCTTGAAACTTCTCTCATTTGACACACATACACATGATTTTTATATTTGCTTGTCTATTATATGTACATACATATATTTTCTATGTTTTTAATGTTTTTTTTTTTCTTCCATTATCTACTTCCTCTAGGATAATTTCATTAAAACGTCCAAATACACACTGCTGACTTTTTTGCCATTTAATTTGCTCGAACAATTTCAACGTCTTGCCAATTTCTATTTCCTGTGCTTGTTGGTGCTGCAACTCATACCCGCGATATCATCATTGACGCCCGTTACCACAGCCATACCGTTAATTGGCGTATTAACTTTGACAGCGGTTAAGGATGCGTATGATGACATTGTAAGTATCTAAATAAATTAATAAGCTTTTTGTGTACATATGTATGTGTGTACGTAAAAATTAAGCATGAGTATGATTGATTAGTTAGGTATTTATTAAGAATTAAAACGGTATAAAATTGTTGAGCTTATTAGATATTTATATTCGATGAAAATAATTGTAGATATGTATGTATGTGTATGTATGTGTACATACATTCACATACACATGTTCACGTTCAATTTTTCATGTAGTAAGCTAGAACTAGGCACTAAAATTTGGCGGTTAGGCAACAACTTTTTACTCAAAAAATTAAAAACTCGAGATAAACGGCTTTGATGTTCACAGTTTACATGTGTCGAAGCGACAGCCCCTAATCCTAAACGTGGAATACGTTATTCAAGTTGAATATAAATTCTAAAATAGGTGGCAACTCTCCTACATGTAGTTTAGAAATAAAATCTCTTCAACACAATTACGATTGATATCTATTTATGAAGTAATTTTTTAAACGTATTGAATAAATTAAAAAAAAAACTTTTTAAACAAAATATTTTCAAATTACAACCTCTTTCATCTGGCACCCATATCGGGATACATATTTCAATTTTCTAATTGCCTTAATTATGGTTTCACTTGGCTTTTTTAAGCAGGTGGCAACGCTCCTACATGTAGATTAGAAATAAAGGTATTTCAATGCCATTTTGATGGACATCCATATTTTAGTAATTCATTTAACCTTTGCATGCATTCAGTTTAACTTTGTAAACAGGTTGTAACCCTGTTCAAAATATTTTCAAATTGAAACCTTTTTAAACCTTTTTCGTATGACACATATTAAAATTATCTAGTTCTCTTAATTCAAGTTGAATTTAATTTTTCAATCAGGTGGCAATGCTCCTACAGATAATTTGGGAACAAATTTTTTTCAGAGCCATTTTGATTAATATCCATATAGCAGTACACATTCGTACCAATCAATTACGTTATAAATATTTCCTCGGAGCTGCGCCATCTGTTACTCAAAAGCCGAAATACACACGCATACTTTTTGTCTCCTTCTCACCATTCCAGTGCAAGCACGTGTTTGCAAAATGATAACGAAGTGATTTTGTATGAAAACTCATTTATGTCCATTTAATTGAATCAAATAAATATATTTAGAATATATCTACCAATACTTCCCATATACCAAACGAAAGGAAATTGAAACATGATTTTTTTATTATAGAAAACTAAAACAAAATCATTGGAGCGGTTTTCGAACATTTTGGTAATAAACAAAATTATTTAATTTTTCAACAATTTTTTGCCTTAATTTTATAAGCTAGAAAAACGGATAATTTTTGGGTTTTATTTTTTTTGCCGCTTTTTGATATCTTTCGGTTTTTTTTGAACGTTTTGGGATTATTTGAGATTTTTTCGGAACTTTTTACTGACCATTTTTTTTCAAAAAATATCAGGAAAATTTTAGTTTAATTTTGCATCACAAAACAGAAGCAACTTCGGCTATGCATACATTGTCCGGAAGTCGCTATATCGGAATACATATTTAGTATGATTTAAAAAATGTCTGTGTTTGTATGTATACATATGTATCAATAGCGTGTCTATTTTAGCTCTAAAAAAAATGTACATTACAAGCTTTCGATGTACACTTTACAGCAACGCCATCTGTCGGATTCTCAGGTGAATAATAGACGATCAAAAACATTACGTAATGGTCAGTTAATCGATGCAAAATGGTCAGGAGTACAGGTATGGATACAAGTATCTTTTTATGCATGTACCCTTATATTAACAACATATGTATGTATATGTGACATTCTCGGGAGACTCCTCTTCCCATTTCTATTTTAATTCAAATAAAGTCTATGATGGCGCACAAATGAAAGCTCAGTTGATCTAGTTTTGAAAGGTTTCATTTGATTCATCATATACATACATACAGTGAGTGTCAGTGAAAATCGTACAGTAAATTGTTTCCCCAATTTTTCGAATATATTTTGCCACTTGAAGCCACTATTTTTGTCGACGGTCAGGCAGCACTGAAGGCAATAGGATCTAGAATAGTGAAATCGTATCAACGGAAAAAGACAAGACAATCGATCTGCAGTAAGAGTCCTTACCGGCATCATCACAGGACACTGTGCTATAGCACCAATGCTTCAACGGTGGGGAATACCAACAAGTACTCTCTACAGAGGCTGCCATGATGAGGATGAGGAAGAGTCAATTGTCAAGTGTCGATGTCCAGGTCTACAGATGAAGCGACTCAAGCACTTGGGTTCACGCTTCTGCAATAGTCTGGGCGAAGTAGCAGAGGTGGAACTGTTGCATCTCATCGGCTTCATCAGGGATAGTAATTGGTACAGTGAAATAATGACTTAAAGCTACACTTTCGATTTAGGTACGTGTCTCCTCCTGACACTCACAATGGACAATTCTGTCTCCGAGTGAAAGCATGGAATATTCCACACACGCCTCCTAACCTTACCTTGATTTATTTAAATTTTGATAATTTTTAATAAAAAGATAGTTCACACTACAATAAAATCACGTATAACCCAAAGTTTCAAAACTTTGAAACAAATAAAAAATCGTAAAATTTTCATAAAATCTCACACTTTTTGTTCGGAAGTTTTAGAAATTTTTTGGGTATGCAGTTTTATATACCATTCAATTTTAACATAATAAAGTGCAAGTGTGTAGTGGCTGCAAAATACCGTAATATACATATGAAATACCGTAAATACATATGAAATAAGTTATTTTAAATAACATGAGATCATTCTTGATATGAAAGAAAATACGCAACACCGTCAACAAAAAAAAAAAAAATTGCCAAAAATGAACGGTAGCCACTTCAAACTTGCAACTTATACTAAAATTTAGTGGACAATAAAACTGCATACCCAAAAAAATTCTGTAACTCGCAATAAAAAGTGTGAAATTTTGATGAAAATTTTACGATTTTTTTTAATTGTGGTAAAGTTAGAAACTTTAAGTTATGTGGATTTTATTGTAGTGTGAACTATATTTTTATTCAAAAAAAAAAAAAAAAAAAAACAAATATTAATAAACTGGGAAAAATTTATTGTACGATTTTCACTAACACTCACTGTACCTATTTGAATAAAAATTAAGTGGAAAGGTAGCCTCCCGTTGAAGGGAATGCCACATATATGTGCACATTAGGGTGGTCCTTAAAACAAAAGGGAGGATTTTTTTCAGTCTCCCCCCTCTATCGCTAATGCCACGGTCACAGATATCACATATAAATTTTGGTACCAATTGGAGACGGTTAAGGCGTGTCGCACAGGGTGCAAAATGCAGATGCCTCTATATAGACTCAAAAAAATAAAATGAAATTTTTTTTTCATCTAATACCCAAAATCGATACTACCTTAATCAAAGATATCACATATAAATTTTGGTCCCGTGTCGAAAAGGGGTCAGCGGCCAGCGGCCTCTATGGACTCAAAAAATTAAAAAAATATTTTTTTTTTTTCTTTTAATACCTAAAATCGATACTTTTACTACAGTCGAGGATATCACATATAAATTGGAGTCGGTTAATACGTCTTCATATGGTAATCTGAACTTTGCCCGCTGTGCAACTCGCCCTAACCGACTTCAATCGACTATGGTAATATCGACTATGGGTATAAGATAAAAAATAAATTAATTTTAATTTTTTCAGTCTCCATAGAGGAATTCGAACTTTGCCCGATGTGCGACTCGACTTAACCGTCTCCATTCGGGACTAAAATGTATATGTGATTTCTTCGACTATAGTAGCATCGACGTAGGGGTTGAGAATTAGGAAATCTAATGTAAAAATTTGCTTCCTACATTTAAGGACCACCCTAATGTACATACACACATGTACACATCTATGTACTGCCTGCGAACGCGCATTCATACATACGTATGTAGGGTTGCGTGCAGCTAATTAACAACGACGCACCCCTGTGGATTATATGAAATACGAAATAGATAATATACGAAACGGCCAGAAAGTAATTTTTTTACTACAATTCTTCGAATACATACATATTCAAACATCGACCTGTTTGTGTTTTTGTCTCAGCGTAGTTTTTTAATTAGCTGCACGCAACTGTATGTAAATACATACAGACAACAAATTCTATGATGCCTGAAAATGCATTTTTATATATTTCTTCCTATTTACTAACCGACAGGTTGGCGATGTGATACGTTTGGAGAACAATCAATTTGTGGCTGCCGACATCCTCTTGCTGACCACATCCGAACCGAATGGTCTGTGTTTCATCGAAACAGCCGAATTGGATGGTGAAACAAATTTGAAATGTAAGCAATGCCTGCCTGAGATCACAGAGCTTGGCCAGCGACATGATCTTTTGTGGAATTTCAATGGTGAAATTATATGCGAGCGGCCAAATAATCTACTTAACAAATTCGAGGGTACACTTATATGGCGGAACCAAAGATATGCGCTGGATAATGAGAAAATCCTACTTAGAGGCTGTGTACTACGCAATACGCAGTGGTGCTATGGAGTTGTTATATTTGCGGGCAAAGACACCAAACTCATGCAGAATTCAGGCAAAACGCAATTCAAAAGCACCGGCGTTGATAGACTGTTAAATTTTATTATAATTGGGGTTAGTTGAGAATGGGATATGTACATATGAATATACTTATATGTGAATATTATCCTTTTTTAGATTGTACTTTTTCTACTTTCCATATGCGCGTTTTTTACGCTGGCCTGTGCCATTTGGGAAAGCTTTATTGGACAGCATTTTCAGGTAAATTAACTGTTTTAGATTAACTTATTCATTGTTCCATCAAGCAATCACGAACCTCTCCCAATATTCATTCTAAAATTTTTTAAAATTATTTAAATGTCTCACAATTTATCTTAGTTATCTTATGTATGTTTATTAGGGTGCCTCGCCAAAAAAATAGCGGTTTCCACCGGAATTATAAAATTTATTATACATAGTTTAAGACTTCGGACAAAAATCCCATTATTTTGATACAGTCGATACAATCTTTAAACATTTGAATGCAGATTTTGCGGGAAAAATATTATTAAAACCAATTTTATTTACGAACACTCGAATTTTGGGGTTATTTTCAAATCCGTCCAGCTCAAGTAAATATTAATATTTTTCCGAAGTATTTTGGCGGAAGTCTTAGAATATAATAAATTTTATAATTCCGATGGAAAAACTGTACCGATTTTTTTTTTTTGTATGGGTAGTGATACACCCTAATATTTATACGTGCTTTTTTATTTTTCTTTCTTTATTTTAACAGGTGTACTTACCGTGGGAAAATATCATACCAAAAAATGTTGCGCAGGGTTCCACCGTTATCGGCCTGTTGGTGTTCTTTTCCTATGCAATCGTCTTAAATACTGTTGTGCCAATATCTCTCTACGTTTCAGTAGAGGTAAGTAAGAGTTAGAAAAAAAATATTAAAGCCATTCTAAGAACATGACACAGTCCCACAATACTATACTTATAGATTTTTGGTTATTGAGTGAAGTCAGAATTCAAAAATTGTCTTTTCTTTCATATTCAATGGTGGATTTTTTTAAGGTTAGAAAGAAAATGCGCGCCAGCTTCTGTACTTTGGCCATAGCCGCGCCAATTCGCGCATTTGTCTATATGTAGTTAGTTGTTAATTTGCAATCCTCTAGAAAAGGAAAACATTCCTCCATGCCATGTTGGTAATTTCTTTTTTATCATACGATACCGTTGGTGGGAAACTTACCTCCTTCCTCCCTTCGGCCCATTGTCGATTCAAAACTTCTGCTTTGTTTCCATAAGCAACGAAGACATTACCAAATGACTTCGAATTTGCGTTGTGTTAAGAATTAATACGAAGCCTAATCAAAGACGAATACGGAGACGAACTCGTATACGTACACGAACACGAAGGGGAATACGAATATGTACGAATAAAGGACAAGAAGGCAAAAACATGCCGTTTTACAGGGTGTTACGTCAAACGCATTTTGCACCGAGGAAGGGCAACATTTTTTGAAAGAAGTAGAAGGTCTGAAATTTTAAGAAAAGGCAATTGTTTATTTTTTTTTAGTCATAAGCCTCAATATGTGACGCTGTATACTTAATTATCATTGCTGACTGAATTTACTAATATTTTTCACATGCAGGTTATACGTTTCGCCCAATCATTTCTAATCAATTGGGATGAGGAAATGTACTATGAACCTTCGAAAACTCATGCCAAAGCACGTACCACCACACTCAACGAGGAGTTGGGACAAATACAATATATATTTTCGGATAAAACCGGTACACTAACACAAAATATAATGACCTTCAATAAATGCAGTATTAATGGGCGCACCTACGGTGATGTATTCGACCTGCGTACGGGCGAAGTTATCGAAGTTACAGATGTAAGTTTTTAATTTAAGAAGAATCAAACAATTTGCATTTGATATTGAGAGGAGCTAAATGTCCTTAACAAATTATTAACAAATTTTAAACAAAGTGTGCTGATGATGTTTTTTTGTTCGAGGCTAAAACGCATATCAACTATTTATTTAGGACATGACTAATTATGTATACACTTTATTCTCTCTAACTGCAGTTAAAGCTTTAAAGCAATTTCAAACATTGCAGCGATTTCTTGGCACAAATACTTACGTACTTACTACATGCACACATACATACATACATACATATTATTGGCAGTAGTAGGGGCTATTGCATGTGGTTTAAATCACAAACAAAGGAGAATAATCAAATATAATTTAACTAACAGCTTATTTTTCAATAATAACTGCATATGTATGTATGCATCCTTATACACACATATGTACATATGTACATTGGAAATATGATATGGAAATTTCAGGCGAGGAATTGAGCAAATCAAAAAAAGAGCTTTTATTGGACCTCTTTGTAAATATTGCAATGTCGCGTGTTTCGCACAAATTTGCAACCGAAATTGGAGTATAATTGAATTTGAGTAGAAATTTTGTGACATTGGCGCATTTTATCTTTGCACTCCTTCGAGCACCGACACTCACACTCATGCACAATTGTGGCCAAGCCAATTGAGTTTGTTTTTGCATCCTTTGAGCACTTTTCACTTCACTTCACAATACTTCAGCTGTTCAGTCTTTGTCCACTATTTTTGACAGCTATTTTTGTTTTTCTTAACAATTTTTTACATTTAGTTTTTAGTAAAAGAAAATCCTTAAAACATATTCCTTGTTGTAGAAGCAAAAATATGTACAGAATAGCAACTTTAATGTGAGCGGCAGCAATAGCGCCAATAAAAGCACACCGGCACCAACAATACTATTGCACACCGCGGAGGTACATCCGAAGAAGAGCACAATTATGGTTTCTAGTCCCGAAGAAGGTGGCGCTGCAGACGTTACCATTGCAACAGCGAATTTGACAACCACACAAGACGCTTTATTGCCCATGACTGGTACTGTAACTGTTCAGACTGATTTGGCCAACAGTCCTACGCAAGAATACGCGCCCCATATTTCGGCGTCCAGCAGGCATCAAGCTCAATATGAAGATAGTTCCATTGGCAGCTCAACGCCTACGGAAGCTAAAGCGCAGCGAGTAACTTGGCGCCAACGTTCAACATCGCTGTCACCGACCCGTCGTATGCGACGTCAATTGTCGACGCGATCCAATGCGAGCGATAAAGTAATGACATTCGGTGATTCCACACCACCAACACCGTATAGGGCACTGATAATGTCATTTGACAACAACAACACATCTAGCACAACTACTACACCCTTAGCAAAAGCCTGCACGAGCACCACGCCGCCACAATCGCCTGACATTACAACAATGCTGCCATCATCATTGACGATGGCGATGGCGATGAGGAAATCATCAGTAACATCCACATCAACACCTGCAACTACACCCTCATTGACATCAGTAACACCATCGCCATCAGCACTATCGTCATCTTCCTTATCGTCACTATCGAAAATCACAACAACAATGCACTCAGATACATTATCACAGACGATGGTACTTTTGGGTACGCAGCAACAGCAACAATCTCACACCACCAACGCGGAAAGTGGCACACAAAAGACACCAAACCAAAAAACCAAGAACAAAAGCCTAACAAAATCGCTAACACCAGATACAATTGGCAAAACATGCTGCAAAAAGCACTGTATGTCATGTTGCGCTTGCCGTAGCCAGGAGTTGCAGTCAGCAGAGCAATCGAAAGGAAGCGCAAAATCAAAATTGAAATCCAACTTGAAATCGCAATCGAAAAAAATGCTTAAGCAAACATGCGAAAATTGTACAAAAAAATGCACTAATAAAAATCACACCAAAAACGTACGCATCAACAACAGCACCACCACAGTAACCGCCACCAATACCGATAATGTATTTAATTTCTATGACACCGGCTGGAGTTCGTCTCACCAAAAAGTGCACGTATGCATGTGATTTTGTACTCGGCTAACTGTAATTTGTACGCTCAAAATAGAAATGTGTACGCTCGCGCAGTCGAAATCCTAAGCTGCATATATTTAGTACTATGACGCTAAATACGTTTTTTGTTTGCTTTGTTTTGCCGCTTGATTGCTTCACGCACCCCTCCACCCTGTTTAAAAGCTTAAAACTGTGCCTATTTTTATAGTTGAATATGACTCAAGTTCTTCCTACAAACCTTTAAAAGCAGAGATGTGTGATTAATCGATTATTAATCAAATATTATTCAAAATATTTTTTTTTAATTAATTATAATCCTGATTAACTGAAAAAATTGGTTTATCAGGTTTACTCTAAAAAAATTAATTGAAATCTGAGTAACTTTTCTCATTTCTTTTTTGAGTTTGCTCTTAAAGCAAAAGAAAATGGTTAAATATTAGAATACATTCAGGGTATATAAACGCTTAAATGCCTCGTAATCAAATAAGTCCTCGGGGTTTACGTGGTTACGGGCATTTGCGTTTAGATGAACTTGACGACTGAGTGGAAGATCGATCTATCTCGGCAGCCGGTTCGAAAACGTCCTATTTCAGAAAACTTTTCAAGAACGCCCTACTTAAAATTTTTTTTGAAAAACGCCCTATTTCAGAATTTTATTTATAAAAACACCCTATCTCAAAATTTTGGTGAAGAACGCCCTATTTCCAAATTCGGTTCAAAAACAACCCATCTCAAATGCGAGTGTATTGAAAATGTGCTTAGATAGGGCGTTTTTGAACCAAATTCTGAAACATGGCATTCTTGAAAAGTTTTCTGAGATAGGGCGTTTTCGAACTGGCTGCCGACGAATTGCCCAAATGTAACTTTCTTCTTCCACACAATGTCAAACAAATGGTAGAGGTTCTCCACTCATTATTCTTAGTGCTAATAACCTAAAATTATAAATCTGCATATAAAATTGTGGCTTTGGCTATGAAATAAAATGCACATCGTTACTACTCGTATGTAATTAAAATATAACAGCAATTATTCAGGTTTCTGATTAATCAAAATGGAATTAACTGCGAAATTAATCATTTTGATTAGTGAAATATTATTGCTATTTCGTTAATGAACTAATCAGGTTTCGATTAATCAGCTTGTTCAATTCACTGATCAATCGCACATCTCTAGTTTGAAGCTAGTGTGAAACATTTCTGGCTTCGGTAAGGTAAAATTTTTCTTTGATGTGAAACGGTTTTTAACTCATGATATGAATATTAAATAGGTTATTAGTAAAAAATATTTTTAAAACAAGCTTTCTAAATATGAAACGAATCGGACCATAAAAACGGGCTTACCAAATATCTCCACTCTTGCGCTATCTGCAAAATTCCCTTCAATGTAAATAACATATATGTATTATAAATATAAACTAAATTAGGCCATAGATGCAGAGTTCCGAAATATTTCGACATACGCGCCACCTACCGGCTAAATTTTTTGTGGAGTTATACTTTCCAAATATGAACCAAATCGGCTTATAAATATGGGTTATTGAAATATCTCGACTCCAGCGCAACCTAGCGGATTAATACCTCTTTCATATCCATTGTCATCGGGTTCTGAGCTAAGTTTGACGTTTCAAGACTCTAGCTCATTGGGAATGCTTTAGCTGTCAACGTCCTCAAAAGATTTCTGAAGCGCTTTCTGATTCAAGCCCATACAATAAATGTTGCCTCATTCCATGACTGTGTTTTGGTGAACTCAAATATTAAGGTTTGGAAAGTCAAGTGTTTTACTCATCTCTACTCTGAATCGCCGAGAGGATTTTATTGTATGCCTGGTCTAGGTCTCAAGCACTCGTTCGCTTCCTCATTTCTCAAAACACCACCACGCTGCAGTGGGGCTCAGCAGAGAGTGAATATGCCTTGTCTATTGGATTGTGGGAATTTTCAATATTCCGTAACTCAGGTTGAGTAGTAGCACCTTGATCGCAGCCTAACTGTGTATAACAAAGTGGTACTTCAAGGGAAAACGTCCAGTATCCTTACAAAGTTTGCATAGGTATCATCCTAATAATATTACAGCAATCTAGAAATATGGAAGTCAGTGTATTTTGTACTCCCGTCGTTCTCTGAAACGGGTTAGGACTACCCGCTTCTTCTGTGTAAAATTTCAAAGACGATCAACGTGATCTAAGCCTCTCTGTTAAAGGTAGAATTTTAGACGCCCTAATCCTTTAGCCACTCTCAGTTGCAGGGCATTTAACATTTATGTCTCTGGTTGGAATAGATAGAAGAGTCTCTAACGCCGCCTGGAGTGGGGAGGAGACTCCACATACAAATTCAAATTATTTTCAAAGTTGCATTGGAAAGCTGTGTCACATCAAATCCTGACTACTAACACTCATATGACTTTTTTTGGTGTGCTACTTTTTTGCATGCGTTATATAAAATAAAAAAAATATAAATGTATTTATTATAATTAACATTATTAACCTTTCATGCCTCAGTGAGCTTCTAGCGGCGAACTAATGTGTGCTACTTAAAGTTTCTCCTTTCCATCTACGGTCGGTTCGATTTACTTATGATGTCTGAGCTACAATTGCATGCCGCAGCTTTCATTGTCACTAACAAATACAAATACATATAGAAATAAATAATAATTGCTTTAATACTCCAAGAAACGCTCCAAGGCTTATTATAACTACAACCACTTATGTACATACATACATACATATGTACATGTACTTATACTTTAGTTCATAAATCAATTTATTAAATAAAATGAATTCAAAACCCGAGCAACTTGCCACGCTTTATCCATATAAATACATACAAACCGTTGTACATAACTAGATTTGCGCATTTCTTAGCAGAGACATACAAAAAACTTAACTCAAAATATTAAATATTTTTTAAGGCTCTCGAACCGGTGGACTTTTCGGCGAATCCCGAATTCGAACCCGACTTCCGCTGGTACGACAAGACCCTGCTGGATGCAGTGCGCTCTGACGAAGAGCACACCCAAAATTTCTTTCGCCTACTTGCGCTGTGTCACACCGTAATGCCGGAGTATGTGGAGGGACGACTCGAGTATCAGGCGCAAAGTCCAGACGAGGCTGCGCTGGTGTCAGCAGCACGAAACTTCGGCTTCGTTTTCCGCTCACGAACGCCAAATAGTATAACGATAGAAGTGATGGGTAGTCGAGAGGTATGTACTTGTACACATGTAAATAGATAAGGGTCAATCCATGTCAAATCGACCAAAGTTTGGAATCGGACATTTTTGATTTGGATGAATTTTTATCACATAACAAAGTTCTGCGAAACAAAAAAATTTTTACGTTTTTTTTTTTAATTACAGGGATTTTGCGAGTTTTTTTTTGAGTATCCCAAAAACTATTAGAGCTACAAAAATGGTTCTGGTCTGGTTTTAAAGGTGTTATAAAGAGAATATATATATATATAAATAACTTTAACACTTTTTTTTTATTCACTACCTCTAATTGATCTTAAAAGATTCTGAAATTTTCATGCGGTTTTCTTTTAATGATTTGAATTTTGGACTTTGAAAATTTTTTTTTTTTTTACTCTAATTAAAGTTGTGCTAAACAATTTAAATTTATTTTTAATTTGCAATTTGAAATTTTTTTTTTAAGTTAAAAAATTTCTTTGTTAAAAAACAGCTTGAAAGTTTCGATTTTAATTAAGATCAGTTAGAGGTATTGTATAAAGAAAGCTATTATAAGTTTTGTCTTTTACGATTTTTTTAATTTTAAAAGTCTGATTTTTTTTTTATTTTTGGATTTTTTTAGTATTTTTATACAGCTTCGAATGTCACCGTTAAAATGATACCAGAAGCATTTTTATAACTATGTACAATAGTTTTAAAAATATTCAGAAAATTACTTAAAAACCCGGGAAATTGTGAAATATTGAACTTTCAAAAAAAAATATTTTTTATTTTTTGTTTGGTAGAACTTGGTATTTATAAGATAAAAAAAAAGTTTTGACCAAAATTCATCCAAATCAAAAATAGTTGGTTCAAACGATTGGTCGATTTGAAATGATTGACCCATAAACGTATTTTTTTCTAACAGTGTAAAATTTAATTACTTTTTTTTTGTTCTCTTTTATTTACAGGAGTATGAACTTCTCAACATTCTAGACTTTAATAATGTACGCAAACGTATGTCGGTGATATTGAGGCGGGGCGATGATATTATACTGTACTGCAAAGGTGCTGATAATGTGATTTACGATAGGTTAAGCACTAGTCAAAGTGATATTAAGGCGCGTACTCAGGATCATTTGAATGTAAGCTGAAAATTTAATTATGCTCAACTAATATTTACGACCAAAAAATTGCTCTGCAGAAATTCGCTGGCGAAGGTTTAAGGACACTGGTACTTGCCGAACGACGACTTGACGCAGATTATTATATGGATTGGTTACAACGCCAACAAATAGCAGCTGTTTCATTAGACGCTCGCGAAGAGAAACTGAATGCCATGTATGAGGAGATCGAAAGTGAATTGATACTCGTCGGTGTGACGGCGATCGAAGACAAACTACAGGATGGTGTACCACAGACGATAGCCAATCTACAAATGGCTGGCTTGAAAATTTGGGTACTAACTGGCGATAAACAAGGTAAGCAGAAGTCATGTTTATCAGTTTGCGATTCTCTTTATGAATGCGATTTTTAGAAACTGCTATAAATATTGGATATTCGTGTCAATTATTAACCGATGAATTGGCTGATGTGTTCATTGTGGATGGCAGTTCACTAGAGGAGGTCGACAAGCAGTTGCGCCAATTCCGTGAATCGGTGCGAATTGTCAATCGTTTTAGACCTACGCGTAAGTGACTGAACTACATACATACCTACATAGATATACTGTTACTCCCAAAATTGAGCGTACGGTTTTTTTTGTTAATATTCGCAAAGTTTTACATGCTAAATACAATTCTATATATATATAAAAAAAAAATTCTGAAAATTTTTATATGAAAAAAATGCATAGGACAGCCAGAAAAAAAATTCTCAAAAATCAACGCGAATTTTTAGACACTTGAAATTTGCACATTATTTAATGGGCTATAAAACTGCATACCTGAATTCTTTTTGGAAATTCGTATTAAAAATTTCGCGATTTTTCTTAATTTTTGTACACAGTATCATTCTTGGATTTAAATGGAGTTTGCTAAAATATACGCCATATTTTAATAAAAAATTAACAAACAATTTTTAGCATGTAAAACATTGCGAATATTAACAAAAATAGAGGTGTGCGCTCAATTTTGGGAGTAACAGTATGTACGTATATAATTTCATTAAACAAACATAAATTCTTACACTTACAGCGCTCGAGCCGAATGTTAATCTGAATCTCAATTTAAATGGTTCGAATAATGCCGATCGTAATAGCACATCTGTGACGTATGGAACTGGTTTTCGTACGCAGGCCACACCACCGCCGGCGCCAGCGATATCTGTTGTTACCTTTAGGTGGGATGATGACAAAATTAAGCATAATAAGGGCGAACCGGACAGGTAGAGGGAACTCCAAAACAAACGCCGCACTTTTACACAAAAGAAACACAAATCTCCTCTCTCTCTCTCTCTCTTGCTGCTACTCTCTTGTTATTATTCCCTTTAGTTTTTTGGTTTGGAGGAACTACTTTTTTTAGATATTTTTTATAAGTATTATTTTATTATTATTTAGCATCTGACTTTTCGTACCGAAGTACTTAATTTTAATTTTAATTTCAACTTATCTTAATTTTTCATTTTTAATTCGAATTTCACGGAATCTCACTGAAATATGCATACGTAAATAATCCGTATTCTTGGGTATATTTCGTTTGAGTAGCAATTTTTAAAGCTAGAATATGTTTTATTGGTTAATTATGATTACTTCGTGCTTCACTGATTTAAAAGTAATATGTATTACAAAACTCCTAGGAATTTGACACAGCGGGTTTTGAAGAGTGCGAAACTAATAGACATACTAGGTCACAAGGTCAGGCGAGCAGGCAGGGTGTGGCTTTACATCCTAGCTGAACTGCAATCATTTTTGATGTGTTTGTGATGGAACGCAACTCCTTTACGATTTAAAAGCTCAAGATATTTCTATATGACAGATTCTTTCAAAAGTCCAATTAACGACACTATTCATCCCAATTGATCTTTCGATTTCGTATTGAAGCTCCTCCAATTCTACCACTCATAGAGCATAACCTTCCTTTGATCAAGTTCTGCATTTGAAGTCGTTTGAGATGAATCATCACGTCACCACTTCACATCGGTGTTGTAGTGGTTAGCATTGGGCGCTGCCATTCCGTAGGCCATGGATTCAAGCCCGGTTCAACCCAACATCAAAAAATAAAAAAAGTTTTTCTCTAATAGCGGTCGCCCCTCGACAGGCACTGGCAAACCTCCGAGTGCATTTCTGCCATGAAAAAACAGTTTTTCATAAAAAAATACAATATCCGTTCGGAGTGAGCGTAAAACTGCAGGTCCCTCCACTTTGTGTGACAACATCAAGGCGCACGCCACAAATCGTAGGAGAAGCTCAGCAAAACACTAACATAAATATGTGTGAGCGCCAAAATATTATTATTATTATTATCTATTGTTTTCTATTATTAACTTCGTTCAGCCCATGTCGAGTCCAAATGTCGAGCTTGCTACTTCTTAAGCTGGAAGTGAACACATTTTCTTTTACTGATTTTCAATGTTCCTGCAGCCTCTCGTATCGTGTAAAGTGGCGTTCCTGACGGAGAATCATCTTTGATATTAAAAATACCAGCTTGGAATTTCTTAAGCTAGTTTTGCGACTGTCCTCTTCACCGAAATCTTTATGCGATTTTTCACAAGCTGGCTACCCGTTCTTGCAACTTAAATTGGTTGTAAAATCCTCAAACTCAACCAAATCACAATTTTTAATGAAGCTTAAACTATCAGCTATTAAATGACTTATGACAAACGTATGTGTGAATGTCCCCATTGCTGCCAAAACTATACTAAACCAACCGTTGCAAACAAACGCAATGACTTTCTACTTCCCCAATATACATACATATAAGTATTTTGGAAACTTCATATCACTTTGAAACGGCGTTTATACTCGGACGAAGCGAAACGTTCTATTTTATTTTAGGCACATCAATCTTGAAGATGTTCGAAAGGTTTTCCAAGTGGAATTAAAACAAAATGCGTTTAGCGATGAAAAAACTGTAGCAATTGAAAGAACAAAGAAAGCTTGGAGTTAATAAAAATTATTACTATTAGTCACTAAATGGGCAAATTTTTTAATGTGGTAACGTTGACGATCAATACCGCCCCTGCTGTAGAAGACTTGTGTGCCCCTAAGCCATTAACAACTATAGGTCTTGCATTTGAACTTCTCCATGCAAGGAAGTCTACTCCTGCCCAATGTTGGGGGTACTCAGAGATAAGGTGCTGATTCAATAATTTCATGAATTGGTACATATTGAAAATCTATGTATGTATATCACCTAACAAATGCCATGGTACTTTATATGACTACGGGGCGTATGAGTAACAATTTACTTTTGAAGGTGATGACTTTAGATTTTTTGACCGACTTCAAAAAAGGAGAAGTTATCAGGTCGCCGGATTTTTATACCCGAGCGCACTTGTGCACAAGGGTATATTAATTTTGTTCACATAACGGTTGTTTGTAACAGCCAAAACGAATCGAGATAGATCACAGTGGTCTTGAAGCAACCATAGCTATGACTAAAATGCCAACCAAAACGGCTTACATAACTGTCTTTGTACATAATCATAGATCAAAATTTCGTTGAAAATAAAATTCCATCTGCTCCTATGCTTAAAATATTATAAAATGTTGATCTAGAACTTTCCAAATCCAGTTATATAATCGCGAAGGTCTATGATAATATAATTATAACACTTTCTTATATAAGCATAAAATATTTTAACTTAGTTCTTCAAGAGATAATATTACATAATTGCATATTTTAATAATTCTTATTGCATAAATTTTATAAATTTACAAAGTCAATATAAAATATTATTTTATATAAATTCATATGTGTTTTGATGAAAATTCAACGACAGTTTTTTTTTAATTGATTATATATTTAGGGTCGTCAATCGAATTAACTTTATAATTGAGCCAAAATCTTAAAAATACGCCATGAATGGATTCTTCAGCTTGCTCCGACCACATTCCGAAGCTGTCGTTGCCTAAAAAATGCAGACAATGTTCCAAATGATTTAGAAGCACGTGAATTTTTAATGTTTCCGACATTTCTGTGCTTCGGAAGGCTTTAGCGAGTTTACTTACATGATTTTTTAATTCTGACCCAACTGACAAAGCAGTCAACCCATTGGTGGAGTTTTTTTCACTCAATACATTTAAGGTATGTGCTCTCCCTTGTATAACTTTTGGATGGCTGGTTGCCCGAGCAGTGAGCCAGATATAACAAGAGCATGAAGTTGTTCTTGTTTCTTTTGTCGAATCTTCATAGTTAGACATGTTTGGAAGAGGCCGCGTTGCATTTGGTATATCCTTATCTCGGTCACAGAGAACCCTACGACATGTACCACAAATGCCTAATGGGAACTTCGAATTGGTCAATCTAAAATTTTCACTAACGTATTTTTTAATAAGACACTCCAATTTTCCGGTTATATTAAATTCTGAAGGTTTTGACGATCCGAATTTAATCTTTCTCCCACAAGGCGCGCACACTTTAAATCTGTTCTCTTCGTGATTACACTTATGTTGCGGATGACTTATAGAAGACATGATGTGCAATCAAATAGCTTACACCAGAAATATTTGGGGTGTTCACAGTTCGTTCCAAATAGTGTCTCAAAATGTAGACGTCTACATTTTAAGACGTTTTCTAACCGTAAAATCTGTGGTGTTGTTGTTTCCCATACAAAATTGGAAAACGACGCCGTCTACATTTTGTCACACTCAAAGGTATGTTTTTTACGCGTCTACATTTTGCAACCTCGCAGCAGGGTTGCATTATGGCAATACTAATCGCATTTTTTTTTATTTATTGGGCACGTTTTCTGTATTTGCATTTAATTTGAGCGCAATTTCTGATGAAAAGAAACAAATCAATGCAAAGAAATAACAAATATTAGGAATTGGTAATTAAGTTAAATAATAACAATTTTTCAGAAACAAAATCGAAAGGCGACATATAAAAAAGCACGCAAAGAAGAAATGTCTGGCAACACCAGCAAAGTTTTGAGACGATTTTGCGACGACTGCTAGAAAGGGGTGCTCACAGTTTGATGCTAAAGATGTCTCAAAATGTAGACGTCTACATTTTCAGACACAATTTTCAACGAACTGTGAACACCCCAATTATCATCGAGAAAAATACTATCTGTTTTTTTTTACACTAATATACAAAACGATAACTTTAGAATACTCTGTTCAACAAGAAATACTAACAATTGCAGTTAAATTTTTTCCAAATTTTCATTTGACAATATTTTAGGCATAGGAGCAGATATGATTTTAATTCCAACTGCATAATGGTGTATGGGTGCCTTCCAAAACAGGTATGCAAGCAGTTTTGGTTGGCATTTTAGTCATACCTATCATTGTTTCAAGACCACTGTGAGATGTAGACAAATGTATACATAAATGATCAGGATGAAAAAAGAAATCGATTAAGCCATGTCTGTCTGTCCGTCCGTCTGTCCGTCTGCCCGTGTACACGATAACTCGAGCAAAAAGTGAGATATCTCAACGAAATTTGGTATGTGGGTTTCCCTTAATCCAAGGTAGGTTGGTATTGAAAATGGGCGAAATCGGACTTTAACCACGCCCACTTCCCATATAACGGTAATTTCCAGAAATACGAAAACTGCGATATTTTAGTAACTACTGAAGATATTTCACTCAAAATTGATATTTACAATAATTTTTAGACGAAAAAGAGGAATATTATAAATTTTTGGAAAATGGGCGTAGCCACGCCCACTTATGGTTACATGTGTATATCTTGGTAACCGCTGCACCAATTTCTTCCAAACTTGCCACAGTTGTTGGCCTTGGTACAGCATAAAAAACTGCCGAAACTTTTTAAAATCGGACAATAACCACGCCCACATCCCATATAACGGTAATTTAGAGAAATACAAAATTTTCGATAAATCATTAAATATTGAAGCTAATTTATTCAAAATTGATGCTTGCAACAATTCTTTACCAAGAAATACGTTTATGGTAAAATTTTGGAAAATGGGCGTGGCACCGCCCACTTATGATCACATATAAGTATATCGGTAACCGTTCTACCAATTTGTACCAAACTCGGTATGGTTATTGTACTTGCCACGTGTAAGCAAAACGTTGAAAATTATTGAAATCGGACTAAAATAACGGCCGATTCTCATATAACGGTAAATTTAAGAAATGCTTGAAACTTCAATATTTCGAAATTGAAGGACGCTAATTTACTCAAAATTGATACACCTCGGCTTACCATCTAGCGGAAGGTTTCGGAAGGGTGAAAAAACATATATTTAATACTTGCGTCGGGTATTTAATGTTCGGCTCCGCCCGAACTTAGACTTTCTTACTTGTTTTTATTTGTATTTGGACCACATGAAACGTTTTCGATGATTCTTTTTTATCGGAAAGGGTGGTCTCACACGAAATTGGTTTAGTTCTGATCATAGGATCGGTCCTTAATTTGTATATGAGCATTGAAGTCTGTTGTGTTTTTTTACTTCAAAAATACATGTTTCTACATGTATACGTCTACAAAATACATTGAATTGGTCTGCTTATTTTTGGTATTTTCCTTTTACAATTCTATATTTTAAAATTCACTTCTATGACTAATTCAATAGAAATCCTGCATGAGAATTTCAATTTTTTCAAATGCCTAAATATTCGAAAAGAAAATTTTGAAAAAAATGTCGCTTACGTTATTTTGGCGATTAGGACTCGATATTTTGTAGCATTTTTCGTTAAAAAATCTACTCAAAATTCATAAAAAATAAAATAGATTTAAAATGTATTTTATAAAGCTTTTTAAATCTATTTTACTTTTTGTCAGTAAGACCACTAGCTTATTATAGCGCACAGTTAAGAATTCTTAGTATGTCCACAAAGCTATTTTCTTCTTCAAACACAAACTCTTACATACAAACCGATACATTGGAAAAAAAATCAAAACAAAATCACGCCATTAGAATCTAATAATAATAGCCAACAAGACAGTGCAATTTCTACATCATTTGATTATATTGTACAAGGATGATCCCCTCTATTGGTACTTGTTCCGCCCGGAAAGTAAATACTTATTTTGTACATTAAAATATATTTTAACACATTTAATAATCGTAATTATTCACATTCGCATTGTTTGTTTGTTTGTTTGTTCGTTCGTTAAAGTACACTTAAAAATGTCGTTGCTAAACACGTTTCTCGCATACATACATATTACATATACCTATCTATAGACTTCAATGTACATAAATTAAAGTAGGTCAAATTAGGATGCATATTTAGCTTTTGATTGCTTGGTTTTCACATCTCACCCACATCGATCATTGAGCTTTTGTATTCATGTTGTTACTGTTGGTTTTGCTCCTGTTGAAAACGTCACTAATATTTGCTTTCGTTTCGTTCGATCGTGTTTGTATTAGCGATTTGGAGTAGCTATGTATTGTACTGCATTTAATAAATATTTATTGAGAGCCTTTTAAAACTACAATCCGTTAAAAAAAGTGTGTTGCATTGTTTTGTTGAACATGTTTGATTTAGTTTGTGAATGTTGTCAGTATGTATTATGCATATGTATGTATGTGTGTATGAGTGTGTCCCTCGCTGCATTCATCATTTTCGTGCACTGATAAGAAAAACTAATTAAGTACATAATGCCATAATTAGTTTTAATGGGGTTTACTTGTCTACCGCCGATATCTATGCATGCATGTATGTATGTATGCAAGCCATTTTTACGACAATTTTTTAGCAACATCAAATGTAAATAGCTGCATACATACATACATATGTACTTGCAGCATCGCTTCATTTGTACCGTTTCTGCACAAATTGCCATCTATGCATTTTTTTTGTATTTTCTTAATTTTTATTTTATTTATTTCTATATATATATATATGTACATATTTATGCAACTTCGCGCATCCTTAATTGACTCAATATTAACGAATTGCTTTTCAAATTTTAACTGCAGCGCCGAATGTAATGAACTCTATGACAATATCGAGAAGGGTGCTGATGGCGCGACCACATTACACCCGGATGAAGTAATCGAAGAGAACACCGGCTTCGCGATTGTTGTCAACGGACACTCGCTAGTTTACTGCCTCTCGCCGGAGTTAGAATCAAAGTGAGTGCTTTTATGTCAAATATATATACACATGCATACCTACTATTGCATAAATGTTCTTCGTCATGAATTGCTTTCCACCTCCATTTTGAAACCGTCATTTGTTTATATTTTTGTGTGGTGAAATAAAAAAATTTCAAAAAATTACACTGGTTTACAGCAAAAATGCACACTGGATGCCCCTATCCAATCCCAATGTAGATTCCCAAAATGGAGTTAATTTGTTTTTTCTATGGTTAAGTTTTTGAGATATTTGCAATTTACCGATATTCAGCTAAAAAAAAGTGGGTCCACTTAATAACATATATATTACAAAACTATAAATATTGTAATATAAATAATCTTAATACAAAATATGGCAAATGAAAGCTAACAATATTATCCATCAACCGTATGTAAATCATTTCTCGATATGCCTGATAGTTTCTGGGAAAATACATAATCATTCCAGATGTTTTGTTTTTTTTTATAAAAAAATTATAACAAAATTTAAACTTTAACAGGGAAAAAATTTAAAACAACAAATTCTGTGTCGATTTTTTTTTATTTGTGTTACAAAAAAATCCAATAGAAATGCGCAAGGATTTTTTTCATTGAAATGTGAGCAGGAAAAAATGTCACTCATACGCCATGTACACGCACAAGAAAATTCTTCCGAATTATTGAACCATACATAGGTGTTTAAACAATATTTCACTGCATAATATTCGCAGAAGCATTTAATTGGGAAAGAACGTGCAAAAAAGTGTATTGTGTGGTATGTTTATTAGCTAGTGACTTTATGTCATGTATTCGTTTGAGCATGCCGAAACGATTACTTAGTGCCTTAGAGTGCCGTATTACAACTGAAGTTGGAATTGTAATTTGGCACCACTATGAAAAGTAATAATAATTAAAAAATACTCTATATGAGTAAAGTTCAAGAGGTGTTTTTTAGTGTCACTCTCTTCTGTCGGCAGAAAAAAAACACTAAAGCATTCTCCTTGCATTTATTTAAATAAATGGAGTTCCAGGCAGAAGTACAATAAAAAATAAATAAATTATTTGAACAATATTAGCCTTAAAACGTTTATTTAGGCTAACAAGTACCAAAATTACTAATTTTTTCATTGACACGCAAAAAAGCCGTAATTTACTAAAATTGTGTATTGCATAAAAGGAATTTTAGATTTTTAGTTAGTTACGGCTTTTTGTATTTCAGCAACGATGTGAGATAGGGCCACACGCGGTAGTACTCGTCGAAATAAAAGGAGATTAATGAGATCAAAGTTGACTTAGAATAACAGTACTGGTTTAGGTTTTCAACCTATATACAAGTAGTTATAGTTATAGTTATGTAGGTGCCGAGAATGCTAACACAACTTCAGAATCGTTAGCGTTTCTAGTGTTTTTAAACCTGTGCAGCAATAGCAAGAATAAGCCAATGAGCCAAATTATAACTGTAGAGGGAACTTGGGTTCATTACTATGAGCTGGAGTTGAAGCAGGAGACCATGCGTTTCAAAAAGTACCATGGACTACAAGCCGCCTTAGCATATTGGAAGGGAAAAGTGATCTGCATTAAATTTTTAACCCCTTGAGCTTTAACGCGCGAACTTATTGACCTGCTCTTGTAGATCGATGAGTATAAATCCTAGCCGACTTCCAAAAAAGGAGGAGGTTATCAGTTCGTCGGAATATATATATTTTTTTATGTATGTTACCGCATAACTTTGGACCACGTCAACCGAAAATTCTTTTTGCATCGGAAAGGTAGTCTCAGAGGCGGTCCCATACTAATCTGGTTTAGATCCGATCATTGGATCATGAAATATATATATATATATTTTTTGTTTTTAAGTCGGTTTTTTTTTGCTAAAAATTACTCGTTCATATTTGTTTTTAATTTTTTTTTGTTCTATTGCCATTTTAAGATTCTTGGACATCGCTTCACAATGCAAAGCAGTTATATGTTGTCGAGTAACGCCGCTACAAAAAGCACTAGTTGTGGAACTAATTAAGCGCGCCAAGAGTGCGGTAACTCTGGCAATCGGCGATGGTGCCAATGATGTGTCCATGATCAAAGGTAACAGACACAATTTTAAAACTTTAACTTTACTCCTTTAAATGTATACATTAAGTTTAAGAAGTTGCTAACTTCAGTTTCAATTTGTATTTATTTTAATCAAACATTTTTTTTCACTCAGCTGCCCACATAGGCGTTGGTATCTCTGGCCAGGAGGGTTTGCAAGCGGTACTGGCAAGCGATTATTCGATCGCCCAATTTCGCTATTTGGAGCGCCTTCTACTCGTACATGGACGCTGGTCGTATTATCGCATGTGTAAATTCTTGCGCTACTTTTTCTATAAGAATTTTGCATTTACACTATGCCACTGCTGGTATTCGTTTTTCTGTGGCTTCAGCGCACAGGTAGGGAATCAAACCGTGCAATATTCAGCAGCCAACTTTTTGAAACAACATATTTTTTTTTTGGGTACTAACCTAATTTGTTATTATTTCCACATGGGCGCTTATGCAGACGGTGTTCGATCCAATGTTCATATCAGTCTACAATCTATTCTATACCTCACTGCCGGTGTTAGCGTTGGGCGTATTCGAACAAGATGTCTCTGACAAGCACAGCGTGGAGTACCCAAAATTATATACGCCCGGACTGAAGAGTCAATTGTTCAATACACGTGAATTTGTTTACAGTGTACTACATGGTGCCTTCAGTTCGCTCATACTCTTCTTAATACCATATGGTACGAAAAGTTTCTAGCCATTTTTATTTGCTTAATTTTATATGCATACATATATTGTTTTGTAGGCACATACAAGGATGGCGTTTCGCCAGATGGACTCATTCTCAGCGATCACATGACGTTAGGTGCGGTTGTTGCCACTATTCTTATAATCGACAATACAGCACAGGTACACTTATAAGATTATTTTCAAATATCATTTCATTGCACATATTTGATTTTTCCAATCGTACAGATAGCGCTATATACATCATATTGGACGATATTCAATCACATTACCATCTGGGGTAGTTTGATATGCTTCTTTGTGTTGGACTATTTTTATAATTATGTCTTCGGCGGTCCCTATGTCGGTTCACTTGCGATGGCTATGAAAGATCTGACATTCTGGACGACAATGATAATAACGGTAATTATGATAATGGCGCCGGTATTAGCCTACAAATTCTACCTAATCGATGTGCATCCTAGCTTAGCTGATAAGGTAAGTCTGATGAAATAATTCATACTACATAGTTCACTCGTATATTCTCTTAAACTTTTGCTTTCGACAGATACGTCTTAAATGTCGCGTGAAAACACGCGCACGTCAGAGCAATATGGTTATGCGGACCCCTTCGGCAAGGAAGGCGCGACGATCTTTACGTTCGGGTTATGCATTTGCCCATCAGGTAAGGAATAGGTAATCAGTAAAACCGCGATACAATGGAGTTGAAGGATTAGACAAATGCCTCTTTATATCCGTAGTTTCGTTGTATTTATAAAATATCAAATGCGTAATGCAAAGAAAGGTGCTAAATTTTCAAGAAAAAAAATTGTCATAGGTTTAGTTTTTTTCTTTTTAATGGGACTCTTTCGCAGAAACGAGATTTTTTCATGGTGTTCAGCAAAAAAAAAATATATCGAGGTTTCACTGTATATTAATGCAAATAATGGTTCTACGATCATGATCAAGCAGGTGGGTTTAAATACCTACATTATGTTAAAAGAAATTTTTATTTCGAGTAAAATGACGTACCTTGAATTGGCCTGCCAAAAGTCGCCATCGATCCAAGTGTCGTGAAAAACGGTTCTTTGAGAGAATTTAGTTTATGGTCACGTTTATGAAAAAGTTGTGATTACCAAGTTTGTACTTTAGGATATTGGTTACAAAAAATATTAAGCCACCCTTTTTCGTAAGACTAACGGTTTTCGAGGAAATTCCATGGAAAAAGTTTTAGCTTAAAATGTGCATTAGGGTTATGTATTTTGAGGTCTTTTTCATTTTTCAAAGGCCTGTAATGCCAGACGTTTGCACTTTTGGAAAAACCTTCGGAGGAATACTCCTATTTCGTGAAAGCATAAAAAACTTTCCACTTTTCAAACAAATTGTTCGAATAATTTGTTTCAAGTCAACGTGCAGAGAGTGTTTTATTTTCATGCATGCATTCTTCCAATCAATGCACAGTATTCTCCGCGTAATGGGGCATAAACAAATTTACGAGTTCTATTTAATTATACGCTCTATTAAAAAAATCGTTTTTTTATTTATTATTTGTTGGGTTAAAAGAAGCGGGAACGCCATTTAGCGGGTATCAATTAACGACAGAATACTGCACTCAACCTTTAAAAAAATAACTATATGTACATTTGTAAATATGTATGTATGTATGTATCCGTTATATTTAAATTCCAATAACTGTTTTCTTTGCAGGAGGGCTTTGGTCGCCTTATCACCTCTGGTAAAATTATGCGTAAATTACCACAAGAATTTGCGTTCCCTTTGGGATTGGGCAGCAAAAAGCTGCAGCCACAAACCACAGATGGCAATGAAGGCAAGAATGGCCAAAACAATAATAATAGTACGCGAAGCAACAAAAACTCATCGACGGGTTATCTTAACGATGCCGACCTGGACAGCGCGACTGGAGGTGGCGGCGGCAGCAACAGCACCCGTAGCGAAGATAACCTAAGCCCACGTGCACCTTGCCAAGACTTAGATACAATTAATCTTTAAGTTTATATGTATGTATGTTTGTACTTGTGTATAGCGTATACGTATGTAGAATGTGAGAAGCCGACAGAAATTAAGTGATTGGCAAATTGCATACAACTTTTTCTGTTAGATAAAGGCCACCAAAAACAAATAAACCAAAAAAAACCCAAGCAAAAACGAAAACTTAGTATGTATGTATAATTTACTTGAAAATATGTGAAATCCTAAATGATGCCTGTTTGGAATTATTGCAATCAAACAAAAAAGGAGTTTTTTTTTTAAAACGTTAGAAATTAATTATGTATGTATTTCTTAAAAAAAAAAAAATCTACAATCAAAGCAAAACTAACGAATATGTTTATAGTCATAGGGTTATTAAAATAATATTTTACGATTAGGCGATTATAGAATTAGTGTTAATAATTTTATTAAATACGCAAATGGAAGAAGAAAGCAAAACAAAGAATTTGGGAGCCGATACTGATGAAGAACAAAAATCACAAAATAATAGCTTTAAATTTAGTGATTAGCTTTTACGCGAACTAACTACTATGTATTATTATTAATTATTATGAATAGTTGTCTATTTATTTATGTATGTTTAAGCTAGTCTACGTATATATTTTTTTAGCTTAACCGAGAAAAAACGATAAATTCGGTCTAATTCACAAATGTTCGATTTTTTTGGCGCTCCTTTTTTCCGCTTTAGTTGAGTTAAACAAACTTTTAAGCTAATGGTATTTAAATGTGAAATTTTGATTAATTTTTTAAATCGTTCATACGCATACAAATAGAGGTGCATGTTTACAAAGTCACTTCAGTTAGGGGCATTATGAAACATAAAACTCTTCTAAAAAATTATAGATATTTAGTTGAAGTAAAGATCATGTATAGTGGCCCACAAAATAATAGCAGTGCGATATTTTCACCAAATTTTTTAGTTTTTTATTTATTTAATGTTTATAATTTTTTTTTATAACAGTCTAGCTGGTAATGCAACGAACACCATATAAATTCACTTCGCAGTGTCCTCCATATAAAAAAAAATTGTCGAACCTACTTTATTAATTGGAAAAAACGTGAACACCTCCAACCAAAAGAATTCTCAAAAATCAACGGGATTTTACACCAACTTGAAACTTGCACTTCATTATACTAAAATTAAATGGGCTACAAAACTGCATCCCCAAGTTTTTTTTTAATTCTGATCAAAACGTTTGAAATTTTGGTGAAAATTTACAAAATTTTTATAATTTTTGTACAAAGTTGGAAATGTGAATTTATAAATATGGTGCTTTTTGTATAACCAGCTAGACTTTTATGAAAAAAAAATAGTAAACATTAAATAAATAATAGACAAATAGCCAAAACTGGTTTAAAATATCGCACTCCTATTATTTTGTGGACAACTGTAGTTGTATGTACTAGTACACATTTTATGCTGGCGGGGCTACCGGGAAATCGTGCAGGTACGAAGTATTGCAAAGCCTTACGATAACTAGTATCAACTGAAAAAGAAAGTCTGCCTTCACTAAAAATAACCTCCAACTCCAAAAATCGACTAAAAATATTTTATATCGTCAGAGGGAGTTTTATTAAGTAGAACTGTCCATTATTCAAGATCATGCATCAGCCTATGCATGCATACATGCATACACATGTATATACTGTATAGATGCATAAATATCTATGAACATTAGGTTGGGTCGATTTTGTATTTGGGTGTTGAAATAAAATTTATTTTGTGGTATTGTAATAGTGATATTTATTACACCATGCGACAGTTTTCTCTAATGTCACAATTTTTTTTTAAGGATATTAAAATTACAAAGAAATGATTAATTAAAAAAAGTTATTTAAAAAATTCGGTGTAATGCTTAAAAACAATACGAGCTTCAATATGGGTATCAAATAAAGGGAAATACTCTATAAAATTCAAAACAATAAATTTGTTTTTTTTTTGGTTAACGAACAGCTACTGAAAATGTTGGTTTAACACTTTATCCTTAAAAATTCCCCAACACTTATTTTTGGAAAAAAATGCGAGTTAACGCATTTAGTTTAGGATAAGAAAAGTTAATAAAAGGACATTTCCAATACCTTTTCGTCCTTGTGCACCAAAAAAAAATTTTTTTGTTTTCAATTGTATAGAGTTTCCCCTTTATTTTATACCATATTGCTATTCAGCATCGTACTGAATTTTTTAAATAAATAATATCTTTGAAATTTCAAGGTTTTGTTTTAAATGCTGCCTTCAGAAAGAAAAACGAAAAATGCAGATTTTCTATACATATTTGATACCTATTGTGTTTTGAAGTTTTCTGCCTTTTAACGCACGGTGCTACCTGTGTATATTATCTGAGCTCTAAACAAATAACAATTGGCTATACAGACTATGTGGTTTCGGTTCTACGATTTCTTCGCTTATAAAACAACCAAACCGTTATGGTAAACCCTAAATTTGTACGAATAATCCGCTTTATCCGAACAGAGCCCTATGTGCCACTTAGAGTTCGATGAACCCGCTATACTAAGACTAAACAAATAATGTTCCACAGGCATGTAAAAGAAAATACAATATTCGACCCACCCTTTTGTACATATGTATGTACATATGCATGTACATATGTATGTACATATGCATGTACATATATACATATGTAATTTTTCTTATTGGGTGTGCTAGTATGTTTCGCAGTTTACAATCCACATACTGAGAGATTTTCTTATAAGTTCTACTCATTGTTAGCATATACATACTTTACTTATGCATACATAAAAATACTATAGGTACTAAATAAAATAAATATTTAATTATGTACGTATCCGCCCGATTTCTATGATATACACAATTCCTTAAAACATTTTTTTTCCATAACGGATACCCACTTAAATATAGAATTCATTAAAAATGTATTTTTAGATTTGCTATTCACTTATGTTTCCCTTTCTTTTGTTATTATTTTCTCATATATTTAAAGAAACACCTGGATTGCTAAAAAACTAAAAGAGTGCAAATTTCATTTTCAAGCCTAAGAAAATTTACTCTCTTATACTTTATTAGAGGATTGGAAGAGAAAAGCTCTCAACGCCATTGATCGATTTCAGAGCCCAAATTTTTCTTTGATTCTGACCCTAAATTATTTGCATACGTATAAAATTATATTAACATCGTCCCTCAGCGCTGGAAATCTCCTCAAGATACTGCTTTTTTAGTTTAGTGTTTATTGCTGTTCATAAAGTTAGTTGTTAAAACTCACCGTGCCTCATCTAGCAATCTTAAGTCATACTGTTACTTTTTAATATAGGCAACTAGATAAATACATAGCTTCGCCAATTGTATCATTTTTTCAAAGGTAAATATATGTATAAATTGGTGTGTACATAAGCATAGTACATAAGTATTCAAATTAGCCGCGGTGTGTGTTTACCTACGGAAAGTATTGTGATTAATTACAACATTTACATACATATGCTAATAAAACAAAACCAATTTGAGAGCGACCCTAATGCGGTTTATCGATCGGTCTAGTTCTGTGAATCCTTTCCAGCAACTAGCATGTGTACTTAAGTCTGTTGTAGGGTAGTGCTTTTAGTATGTACATATACATACATACATGCATATGGATGTACATATACATATCGTTCATTTACTTCAATAATGCCATAATCCAAAAAATATAAATTTTGAATTGGGTACGCAGAAACAACCGTCACCTCTTCTTCTATGCTGTGGTAAAATTTCAAAGCTGTATCGATTACCAGTATCTCACCAGAACAAAATATCTGTTCATTTTTACTATGCGAGTATATCGTTACCTTAATAATTCGCAAAGGCCCTAACCAAAAAATGTTTTATTTTACAGGAGAAGCAAAAAACGTTATACAAATCAAATCGTTCATACGTGTATGGCGTTTCAAAAAGTGGCGTAACTCCGTAGATTTTGTTACCAGCACTTGCAAATTTTTAGTGAAGTTGTATTTTAATATATCCTACGAAAATCTGTGAAAAACGTAGTTTCGAAATTGTGGTTAGGGCCTTTGTGAATTAAGGTGACGATATGTAAATTCAAAACTTTAAAGCCGTTTTTCTCGAGTTTTGCTTTTTTGAGTTGTGACATTATTGAAATAAATAAGCGATCTGTAAATCCATACATACATACATATACTATCTCATTGTTTCATGCATTCAACGCTAAAGCGATGATTTTTAAATGTTAATGTTTTTATAGAGCTAGAACAATTTGTAGTCACATATGCGGAACTATTTTCTAACTTTCTCAATTTTATGTTAATAAGGCGCTTATAGTTTAGTATAATAGTGTAAGCACTACATAGACGCAGAACCTTATGATGCTGAACATTGTTTGAAATAAAGAATATTGTATTTTTTATATACATAAACCAAATTGCTTTTTCTTTATTATCGTAATTTAACTTGTGAAAAAGTGCATAAACTTTAACGAAACAAAAAGTCGATAAAAAAGTAACAAATTTTATTGGTAATATTTTAAATTATCCCTAACTTTAATCGGCATCTTTGATATCGCCTTGCAGCTTTAATCAAAAAAGTTTTTTTGGCACCGTGCCACCTTCCAGAGAATCGATGAGTTTTCGCTTTAAGCTGGGACGTTCTTCAGCAGGTTGTTTGTTGCCAGAGGGCATTGGCAGCTTATGGCCGACTGATGGCGCTGGTTTGTTCGAAAAATATTTCATACTTAATGCTTCTGTGCAGGTGCAACGCTGCGCTGGATTTAGGGCAAGTAGCTTTTCCGCCAAAAGGATGAGATCATCAGGCGCGGCTGTAAAAATGTGTTGTAAGGGAATCGCAGGAAACTGCTTGAATTGCATGTAATCCGGCAATTTGTTGAGGTTAGGCCACGTTTCTTCAGTAGGCGTGCCGAGAGCTTGGAAAATTTTTGTAAGCTGATCAAGATCGGAATCGCCTGGTAAGAAAGGAATACGCAATAAAAGCTCGGCTAATATACAGCCCACGGCCCAGATGTCTATTCCAGTACCATATTGTCGCGCACCAAAGAGTAGTTCGGGTGCACGATACCATCTTGTAACAACCTGGTGAGTATAAATACGATTGGGCGAACCAAAGAACTTGGCTAAACCAAAATCACCAATTTTTAGTACACCATCTGTATTGACCAGCAAATTATTTGGTTTTAAATCTCTATGGAGTATCCAATTCATATGTAGGTACTCCAAACCACTTAAAGTCATAATCATGTAAGATTTGATATTAGCTTGGGTTAAAATAATCTTGGGATCCTTTATGATAATTTCCAAATCGGTATCCATAAAGTCGAACACTAACGAGACATTCGATTTATGACCAAAAACGTCAACCAAACCTATAACATTTTCATGCTGTAGCTCGTGCAGTAGTTTGATTTCCCGCAACGCTGTCCGGTTTATACCATCCTGGGCCTCTTCCCGACTTCCAATTTTTATCTTTTTTACGGCAACTATCTGCTCGGTGAGCACATCTCGCGCCTTATATACTGTCGCAAACTAAAAGAAGACAATGAAACGTTAGAACGTCATCTACCCTGGATAATATTTATTCCTCACCTGCCCCTCGCCAAGAAACGCAATTTTCTCATACCGAGTTAGCTTATTGTCTAGCTGCTGCATTTAGAGGATATTAAAAATGCACACTTGATCACCAAAGGTCGACTTTGTTTTTGGCTTGGTTGGTATGAACTCAATATGCCAGGTAGTTCCTCCAAAGCAGTAGTTATAGTAGGTTATCGCCTGAACCGCTCTCTTTCAACCTTTGATGAACCGGCCGATTTCTACCAAGCCGACAAAATATTTTATACGGAGGGTTGAGGAGTTTTTGTCATAGATAAATTTTTAAGTTATTACTAGCCGATTATGAACCAGATGTTGCAACGCTTTTTTAATTCAACCGGCAAATTTTCCAATTCCTGATTTAATTTGACACCCAGCCTGGCTGTCAAATGGAAAATTTGCAAAATAATTCTGTGCTTACAAGTCACAAAATGGTTCCATTACACGCTTTAAGTGACAGAGGGCGCTAAAAAATTGTTGTGGAATTATTTCACTGGCACCAAAACGCGTTTGGGAACAAAAACCCGCTACCGGTATCGGTTTGGGACCAAATGCACTACCGGATCAGCGTTGCCGTTTTACTTAAATTGAAGAAAATTGATTAAATTTTTCCTGCCTGCTAAAAAGTTAAATTTTTCTTCGTTCTAAATTTTTTGATTAAAATATTCAAAAAGGATAATTTTGCTTAAAAATTCATTTCTAACTATGAGTTCATTTTCAATCAATTTTTCAATTTTGTTTTTGGATCCCGTATAAAGTTTTTGCTACGGCAACACTGTACCGGAATTGGCTGTTTGTAGTTTTGTCTCTTGTCTCGGGAAATTTTGCCTGTTTGACAAACGGAAACATTAAAATTTGCATACTTGGCAGCATTGTCTGAACATGTTCTTTTTCTGGCGAACGCCATTACTGTCTGGAGCAAAGGCAAATTTTCTGTGCTTAAAAGTAAGAAATTTATTACAAATCTACCAGAAGATCATTTTAACGGGGGCGTTAAATATGCAGGAAGCATTTGGGATTAGTACTGTGCGAATAAAATGTGATATTTGTAATTTTTTCCTATGAAATGCATCAATTAAATTTTGAGGTTAAAGGAGTTTACAAAGCTGGCGATATTTTATGTCAAATGTTTAGCCACACGTGTGCATAAATTTATTCCTAATATAAGTTTGAAAAAATTCAGTAAATGTGTACTGGCACAAATAAAAAAATGTGCGGAGTGAGTGCCATTTACTTCACTTAAGTGCTTGTAAATAAGTCCATAACTAAAACCGTATACACCAATTTATATGGGAAATGCGGTATTCGATTGGACGATATTAAGCTTGGTTAACTATTCCTCTTAAGGATATCGGTTCAAAGATATAGTCCTTAATAAAGTAAAACCAACATATTTTGAATATTTGCACAGTATCAATCCGTCCTCTACTAAAACCATACCCGCTGAAATACCTAGCATGTATGGTATTCAAATGGACTATAGAAAATTTGTGGTTAACTATTCCTCTTAAGGATATCGGCTCAAAGATAAACTCCTTAATAAAGTAAAACCAACAATAAATATTTGCAATTATCTCATCGTCCTCAACTAAAATCATACTCGCTGAATTACTTAGTATGTATGGTATTCAAATGGACTATAGAAAATTTATTTTTTTTTTATTTTATTTTATTTTTTACGGTCTTATTGACCTAGCTTACATTCTTCTATTCCTCTATGAGATCATTATCATTACCATTTATGACTAACTATTCCTCTTAAGGATATCGGCTTAAAGATATAGTCCTTAATAAAGTTTAAAACCAACATTTCCCCACATCGAAGATGGGACGATTGACATAGATTGAAGATGTATTAATCAAGTTGTTTACTTTTTCAGAATGGCTGAGGTTGAAGAAAGTGTTGTCGAGAGCTTCGACGAACAACCACCAATTGAAACTGAGGGCGCTGAGACTCTGTTAGAAACAAATATTGTTGCCACAACGGAATTGCCTGAAATTAAACTTTTCGGTCGTTGGTCATGCGACGATGTCACCGTAAATGATATCTCGCTGCAGGATTACATTTCGGTCAAAGAGAAGTTCGCTCGCTATTTGCCACACTCTGCTGGTCGTTATGCTGCCAAGCGTTTCCGCAAGGCTCAGTGCCCTATTGTGGAGCGTCTGACCAACTCTCTGATGATGAAGGGTCGTAACAACGGCAAGAAGCTGATGGCTTGCCGTATTGTAAAACACTCCTTCGAAATTATTCACCTGTTGACAGGTGAAAATCCACTACAGGTAAATGTCTAGTTAAGTAATTTTAATTAAGAGATGGCATGTCCCATGCTAAACTGTTGTAGAGAAAAACAAATACCTCTTCAATCAGGTAGAATGAGGACACATAGCAAACAAACTACTCTTATTACTGTGAATATTTTTTATAATATTTCCCTTCAAGAGTATTTTACAATCATTTGTACTAATTTGTAAATAAATGCATGAATAATGTTTTTGTATTTAGATTCTAGTGAGCGCTATCATAAACTCTGGACCCCGTGAAGATTCGACACGTATTGGGCGTGCTGGTACTGTGCGCCGACAAGCCGTCGATGTGTCGCCCTTGCGTCGTGTGAACCAGGTAAGTTTCTAAAATGTATATCCGCATTTAATTTGCAGCCTAGGACAATACCTTACAAACTATTGCATCACTTTTGGAAGGCTATAACCCTAGGCTATATAAAACTGTTCTTTAAATATCCATAGCGGCAAAAAGTATTTTACTTTCTTTTGCCGTATGAACTAAAGATACATCATAAACAAGATTTATTATGTATGTCCAGCTTATTACTCTTTTATTTATTTATAAAACTTGAGTTATGCTTCTGGACTAGAACAAAATGTAAGATATTTTGAAACGGCAATTTTACAATCTGGAGTTGCTTTAATACAATCTTTTTAGACAATTAAATTAAACAGCGACTATTGATCATAGAATTGAGAAAAAATTCTTGTTTTCTTAGGCTATCTGGTTGTTGTGCACTGGTGCCCGTGAAGCTGCTTTCAGGAACATCAAGACCATAGCCGAATGCTTGGCTGATGAACTTATCAACGCCGCTAAGGTAAGTTTTATATCTGAGATAATGCAGCATTATGATTTTAATGCTCTGTCTCGCTTGTACATAAAATTAAGATGATGGAATGCATCATGTCCATTATCCTAGCGATTAAATTTTATTCAACGCGTATTTTGATGTTCGAGAAGCGTAGAAATAAAAAAATTTGTTCTGTTAATGTTGCAGTCCCCTCTAATGTAAAGCAATGTACTCACCAAGTTGCCTTTGCCTCGCTTGTGGACAAGATCAATACTTTCTATTATCCTAGCGTCTAAATTAATTTGTATATATATTTTGATGCTCGAGAAACGTAGAAATACAAAATTTTCTTCTGTTAATGATGTGTCCTCTCTAATGCAAAGCAATGTTCTATCCAAGTTGTCTTTGCCTCGCTTGTGGACAAGATCAATACTTTCTATTATCCTAGCGTCTAATTTAGTTCTATTTATATTTTGATGCTCGAGAAACGTAGAAATACAAAATTTTGTTCTATTAATGTTTTGGTCCGCTCTAATGCAAAGCAATTTTCTATCCAAGTTGTGTTTGCCTCGCTTGTGGACAAGATCAATATTTTCTATTATCCTAGCGTCTAAATTAATTGTATTTATATTTTGATGCTCGAGAAACGTAGAAATACAAAATTTTGTTCTATTAATGTTTTGGTCCGCTCTAATGCAAAGCAATTTTCTATCCAGGTTGCATTTGCCTCGCTTGCGGACGAAATTAAAAATCATTGGCTTTATTATCCTAGCGCATTAAGCAACCAAGTGTTTATTATTGCGCTTGAGAAACGTAAAACTACAGCTTATTTTGTTTGTTTATTCAAAGAAAATATTTTTACTGAAAATTTAATAATAAAACTTTATTTTATATTTGCAGGGATCATCCAACTCCTACGCTATCAAGAAGAAGGATGAGTTGGAACGTGTAGCCAAGTCCAACCGATAAGCGCTACAGTTGCACATTCGTTTTTGTGTATATTTTTTACAATTACAAAGATGATTTATTAAATAAACAAAATATATGTATATGTAAATCAGAAAAATTTGTACATATTTATTTATGAACGCTTTTTATTGGTTATTTAAGTGGTGTTCGAATTTTCTTGTTTCTTCAATTTCGAGGACGACTGATTTCCTTCTCAATATAAGATAATTTTAATTTCTGACATGAAAGTTTATGGACTGCATAAAAGGATAGATACATGGTGAAAGGAATGGTGAATTCTATCGGTCTTGGGATAGGCAGAGAACGTATAATTATCAGCCACATTGCGTAAGTCGTAAATTAGGCTAAATTGTACGACTCGACAACATTGGCATTGTCTACTGTCGTGCTGAAATTAGTAAACGACGAATATCGTCGAAAACTTCGCAGTGCTGCCAAGTTTTTCCGTTTTAATACACTAGTCGATTGGAAATTTTAGGCAATGACGTGAAATTTTCGACACGATTCGACTCTCGAAAACCGACTTACATTCGATACGGCTCTTGCAATGAGGGTGTATGAGAAGGTGCCCAAACATACATCTCTGTTCTTGATTCAACATATCTGTAGCTTGTGATTTACAACACTGGTTTGGCACCTGTCAAAACTTCAAAAATAAAAATATTTGCCGCGGGAAATTTTGCAATCTTCGTAAACTATTTATTTGCTTTTACCCTTTTGAATATGTCTAGACAAGATATATCAATTCCAAAAGATAACGATACGTCTCATATTTCCCAATCGTAAGTAATTTCTGATGTCATGGCTTATAGTAAATAAAATATAAGGCGTTCATAATTCACAGATTTCGTGATCAGAAACAAATTGAATCGTTTATACGACGAAATAATTTGCTCAAAATTATAGAAGGAGCAACTGAAAAATTTATAAAAAAGTATAGCGATAGTAGGAAGCCAGAGGACGCACTGGGTGCTCTACTGTTACCACTTCGATTTGAATATGTCGAATTTACACGCATCGAAGACGTAGAATTGCTGCATTTAGTTGTGGAAGAGCCATTACAATTTTTAAACGCCGCTAAATATTGCACATATTCGCTTATTCGCGACCATATTAAACTAGCTGGGAGTACAGGAGACGCTGCTGGTGGTCTTAAATCCATCGATATTGATCAGGTGCATATTCAGCTGCGCTTTATAGGATTGCCTCAGCAGGAAGATTTGCATTTTGCACCTTTTAAGAATTGTTGGCCGCCAGGACTATCGTGGACAACTGGGATTTTGTCGGCAATCTCCGAACCCAAAGTTGAAGTGTAAGTTTATCTTGAATACTATATACGCCGTATTATTTTTTAGTAGTCGTCCCCAAATAAGATACATGTTTTCAAATTCATTTCCCATTTCGTTGCTGCAAAACGAGTTTTTAAAGAAAATTACATCGAATTATATGTTCTTTGCAAAAGCTATTTGAATATTTAATACAAAATTATTTATATACATAGCTGATTGTGCGAAATTTGCGATGTTTTTCAAATACCTTATATGCGCCTGGAAAAATGTAATCTTACTGTTATTCTCTCAATTATTAGACTACAATCGACATGGTATTGTTCAACCGGATGCAATCGAAATAAAATAAAATCGGAGTCAACTGATGGTAAGATTTTTATATACCGAAAAATTAATTAAGTTTGATAAAACTCATCATATATGTACATATATACATATGTAAATATATAAATAGCACCTACATGCAACAGTTGTGGACGTCAAATGAATGAATACCCAAAATTACGTGTAACGGAAAATTACCGTTTATTGCGAATTCTCCCACCTGAGTGCATTGAAACCCCGCGCATTTTGAATAAGATCTTTCGCGCGCTTACCGTGCAAGCCAGAGGTAAAGTATGCTATTACCAATTAAACTGGTTATACATAATATCTAAAAATAATACTCTTCAGAACACGTCTACGATTGCGATTTGCGTTTAGGTAATCTATATAAGATAATAGGCTTCTACGATTATACGCGCCCTGGCCAGCTATTTCAAGCATGGAGCATAAAAACATATTAGAAAGCACATTTGCGAGTCTGCGCAACATTACCGATACTGAATTGGATGCCTTGTTGCACTTTGATAGCCCACCGCCATCCAGACGGTTCTCGAATAACACAGAGCAACAACGGCTGAACGATAATAATGCATTCGCAGATCGAACGCTTAGTATCTTACAATTTAATCGGGAGGAGCTTCCCTCACAAATGAATTCTCAAGTTGGCGACATAAATTATTTTCCCGATGATCTGGACCTTACTCTTAATTTTTCTCAACAAGCTTCAGAGAGACCTCAGTCTGTTATATTTAATTCGCCGGAAGTAGCAAGTATTGAAGTAACCAACACCGAAATCCAAAAGCCAGTAAACGAAGGAACGCAAAATGAATGTATTTCTGGGAGAATTCAAAATACAGCAATGCAGATAGAATCTTTTGATGAAATTGTTAAAAAAGAATTAATGGATTTGACAATATTTGAAAACTTTTCTGATGATGATTTTCCCACTTGTAAGGATGTCGATATGCATTCATCACCAGAACAAGACGCTTTAAAAGCTGCCGATTCAAGACAAAAGCGAGCGGTATTTCAATTATTCAAAAATTCGTAAAAATTATTATAACTATGGGTCTTTAATTTAAGAATACAAGTTGCAATTCCTTTCATAATGAATCGTTTAATTCTCAGTGTCAAACTCAGGTGGATGCTCCAAAACAAGAAGATCATCCAACAAAGCCTTTCTTCACATCGTGTCCAGTACCAAACCGCATCGAGCAGAGCCCAGCTTTACCCAGCACTATTTCCGCTGATGATCAAATGAGATTGACGAGTTCGCCAGCAAACATACAATTAGATGCCGTTGATTACACTTTCAAAACTGTTGACAAATCGCATCCTTCAGCTCAGTGTCATGAAAATTTGCAACACTCACTAGCTGCCGCTGCTAGTGCGATTACGAGTTCGCCAGCATACAATTTAACAACGGACACCACCATGGTGCCAGCGTCTGTGAAGCAATTGTATGATCTTGTGCGCACACAGTACTCCGATTTTGCCTTTGTCTATGCGTTAAGTGCACAGCTGTGCCAAGATCGTGTGCCAATGGATTGTTTCGTTAATTTGAAAATGGGTCTACTGCTTAGCTTAGCTTCCATCAGCGTAGGTATTCCGGCTGCTTCACTACTTCCTTTCGCATCTAATTTTTAGTTTTACAGTCTAATCCCGATCGGCCACCCGTACCTATAATGGCAATTGGCAGCGACACCTATATGGCTAACTTTTTACTTACTAATATAGGGCAGCTGGCAGCGCGCTTTGTTGGACCATCAGACGACGTCAAAGCGCCATCCATTAGTAACTATCGCAACTGCAATTGGATTGTAGCCGACCCAATACTGCTAGCGAAAGATGGTGTTTATTTTGTTGGCGATTGGTCGCGCTTGAAGCTGACGCGGGCCGATCAACTTTTCCGCATAATCGAATGTTCACGAGTGTCCCTTGAGCGTTCAACACTAACATGTCCATTAGAGTGCGCAATTTGGACACACTGGCGGTCATATAAGGGCGATGCCAGAGATCAGCAAACTTTTAATAAAGTGGTAAAGTGAGTAGAGCGACGCAAAAAAGAATGTTACATTTTACTTTCAAACTGTGTTGTGAATTTTTCTTACAGAATTTTCGGCATTCCTATTTGTATGGACGACGACGATAAGCACGAGGTGCTCGTCGATTACATTTTGGAGCAGTCGTCAGTCAACGTCTTTGAGTCGACCGTTGATCACTTGTCAATTAGCAGTGATGATATGCGTTGTTTTCTAAGGACGATTACTAAACGTACCGTTGATTTGACACCGGAAGCCTCGCTTTTGTTGCAAAAATACTTTGTAACGGCGCGCTTCGCTCGGCCGGGTAAAAAATTACACTAATAAAATTACGATTACAATGCTAACCTCACAAACATACATTCATTATTCATCCCCAGAATGCCTAACCAAACAAGCGTATGTGGTATTGAAACAATTTGCGGAGTCATTTGCAAAACTTTGCTTCCGCCATGAAGTGTTGGCTTGCGATGTCGTTGCAGCTGTTTTCATGTGCGAACGCTTCATACGCAGCATTTTTGGTGTGACCGAAAATTCACCGCCTGCATTTGAATCACATAATTTTGTGGGCACTGTGGACGAGCACATGGTGAAATTTCAAGATTGGCTTAATGCTTATATAAAAAAATATGAAGATAAATAATTGCCTGGCATTATCAGAAATCGAATACCACCAGAAGCACAAAAAACGCCAGTTAACAGTATTTTCTTAAAAAATTACATTTTATTTTAGAATCATATTTTAATAACGTAGAGTTTACAAATAGATTATATGTATGCAGGTATACATAAGTATATATGTATATATGTATCAATAAATACATTTAAGTATATGTAGTTTAAAAACTTTTGGCTCAACCAAGTGTACGACAAAATAATTGCGTTATTGCAAAAACATTAATACACATGAGTTTCCAACGTACATATACGTTTTTGTTCAGTTATGTAAAAAAAAATTGTCCAAATAAAAAATTGTGAAAAAAGCGAAGAAAATTTCATTGCAAATCATCGAAAAGGCACACTTGTGTAGAAACATATTCATATTCAGTTAGTTAAATCGATTGCTCATTAGATATAAATATTTATTACGTGGTCCTGATGAATGTCTGGTATAATTTTCAATGTCCTTTAGAAAAATTGAGCAATAGTTACACTTCCTTAACGCTTAAGAATAAGTTAAACCTCATTTAAAAATATATACATAAGTCAGTATATGTATGTGAGCAACAGTTCACTCTTCAGCAATTTCGAATATAATTCACTTTGGTCCTAAACGGGAATTTCTTATATTAAATGTATTAATTTTTACTAGCCTAAAAGTACTATTTTACAATAATTCAAGTGCTTAAAATGCACTAAAGTAACTCTTAACTAGTAGTCTAAATTTCCTTGAGCTCCGGTTATAATTGCATCGATCCATATTCTAGCTGCAGCGTCCGATGCCGCTTGTAGATGGTAGCTGCGCTTTTTCGTCTTGACAATGAATGTACAATGAGGGCGTCCACTCTTCGAGGCATTTAAATGATCCAAATACACTTCGTCGATTGTCTAAAAAAAATGGGAAAAAGTTACTTTATGTTCAAAAGGATATGGCATCATTTCAAAAAACATCAGTCAAAATGTCAACTGTCCCAAAATGAAATTTGTTCAATAAGCTTTCGCACAAAATATTCGCTATTAGATTTATTATTACGGCAGTTTTCACCCTAATCAACTGCCAGTTATACTTTGCAAATCCGAGGTTCCTTAAAACGCTGCTTTGTTCAAACACGCTCAAATATGTCCAGCAACCAAATGGAAGTGGACGACACCGATGTCGAGGAATTTCATGACATCGAAGAATTCTCGGATGAAATACCGACTTGCAGCACTACGCATCCACAAACGAAGCGCTTCGTCGTGAAAAAGTGGCAGGCGCAGGCGCTTTGGTCGTGGGACGTAGCCGTCGATAATTGCGCAATTTGCCGCAACCAAATCATGGATCTCTGCATTGAGTGCCAGGCGAATCCGCTTTGTTCCGGCACTAAGGAGGAATGCACGGTGGCATGGGGCGCATGCAATCACGCTTTTCACTTCCACTGTATTTCGCGTTGGCTCAAAACCCGCCAGGTATGTCCGTTAGACAACAAGGAATGGGATTATCAGAAATATGGCCGTTAGCCGGCAAGCAGCTATTCTGGATTTGCGCGCCACTAGGGTATACGTTTGTATGTAGATACATATGTTCATTTTTAATTCATCTCACCAAATGTTTATTTTGTAAGCACATTCATATATTTTGCGAAAATACCAAATTCTAAAAAAAAAACCTAAACAAAGTTTTTGGTTCATTCAAAACTCACCGAGAAATAGGCGCCACCTCTGGGCTTCCGTTCCGACTTGTCCGCATAGTAGATGAACGCGCTGCGCTGTCGATCAAGTACGAACCACCGTCGCGCCCAGCCATGGAAAGTAGCACCCAATTTATGCAAATAGCTGTAAATATTTACATTTCATACAAAATAAGACAATTCGTATAAACAAATCATGCCGAATGCAAATGCATTCGGGAGCGGATCACTCACCCTCGGCAGCTAAAAGCATCGACAAAGACGTGCGGGCATAGTGTAATCTGATGTCCAGCTGACTCGATGTGATGGCGGAGGTTTAGATCGGGTGAAAAGATTGGCAGGTAGCGTGTCAGCGGACGCTGGTGTTTGGGCAGTGCACGCTTCCGCTCGCCGCCTTGTGCGCTACCGCTGCCGCTGCCGGTGGCACTGACGCCTGACGTTGTCTCGTTCGAATTGACGCTCGAACGCTTGTTGGCTGCCTCATCGCCGCTGGTCACAGGCTCAGTCGAGTAGCTATTGTTGCCCGCAGATGCTGCAGCATTCGGTGACGCGGTGGACAGCTCATAATTCGACTTGCAGGTGCCTTTGTGATCGCTGTCTAATAGATCGCAGCTTAGCTCAGAGTTGGCTTCAGAAAGCGGGCGCGGACTGGATCGTGAATGGCGTATTTGTGTTTCCACAAATTCAGGCTGTGAGTGCCGTTGCTGAAATTTGAATGAAAAACAAACAAAGCAAATTGTTTATTTGTATGTCCGAGTTCACTTTACTAAAAGGTACTTTATATAGAATGCTTTGAATGAATTGAGTATGTAAACATTTGAGAAAATCGCAAATTTGCTGACCTACAGGTACGCAGCGATGTGCCGGTCTGCTCTTCACATACTTTTAGTCAAGCTATTAATATAAAATGTATATCGCCGCTTGATAATTTTAATCGCCACTATTTTTTACTTTGGCGAGCAGCCAGCAAAAATACTTAAATGATGTCAAGATGCCAACAACTGCACAAAAAAATTGACATTTTTTTTTTTATGTGTAAGCACATATCGTTTACCATCAGTGCAAAAAGGTCTGCTTCTCGGAAAAATTTGGAACAAGTCCCTCTCACGCTGGTCTATCCAACGCTGAGGGAGCCACCCCACCCTCTACAACTACCAACGGATGCCACATCGAAAACTTTCAGAGTTGAAGCATTTCCATCCATTCCTGCGAAGTGGTCTTCCAGGCGTAGCCACTGCACCTTATCAATGCCTTTGTCAATCTCATGGAGCTCATCGTTTCAAGGTCTCCGATACTCGCCGTCACAAATTCCTCGAGAGAGAGCTTTGCTGCTCAATTAAGTAGCACTAATTTATTAGATCTGTCCTTGGTTGAATTTCTATACTCTTGAATGTTTTTTTGATAGCAGGATATGTTTTATTTTATCCCCGTTTACAACCAGATCCTTATGTGTTGCCTCTCTGTCTGGCGCTGTTGTTGAGGACGAGGATGTCATACGTGAGCGGTAGAGTTCTGCAGCTCTTATTACGCAGTGGGGAGGCAAAAATATCACAGCTAAACGACCAAACACATAAACTTAATTTTGGCTTCTAGATAACGATGCCGTTTTCAGAAAATCCGTATTACGTCAAGATATTAAAGATGGAAGCCTTAAAGCATAAACAGACGGCAGCGTTGAACCGGATCAACTCGGGAGCTAACTGCAGTTGATCCGGATTAAGTCCGAGTTAAGTCCGAATGGGTTTTTAATACCTTTTTTGCGCTGTCAAAGCTCTTGGTCAAAGTAACTATGTAATGTTTTCCAATAGGCGCTGGTCCATACTGCGTCATATTTGACATAAGTTGGCAAGTCATGGTAACCAAACAACACAAACCCAAACCCTACGCGGGCGATTGCTGTTATATTAATTGACAAAAAAAACATCGAAAAATTTGCGAAAACTTTTTTTCATATTATTGTCTTTGGAAACTCCTAAAGATCAAAGAAACTAAGAAGCTTGTCAAATAAATTAAACAACTTTTGTATCGTTTGTGGTAATTCCATATGCTATACCGGTACTTTGACTTTTACGAACAACAACTTGCAACAGAAAACGACGAGGTAGGTAGGAGAAAGATTTCACCAATCCATTATGAGGATCTATTCACTGGAAAACGATTGAATTCAATGTTGGCGGACATTTGCTGGTCGATCGCAGCAGGCAAAGGGTATAAAAAAAAACCATTCGTGCCACAATTGATTTGTAAGCAAGAAACAACCGACTTCAACCCTCAAATAAAAATTTAAAAGTTCCGTTAATTTCTTCATGATCCAATGATCGGATCTAAACCAACTCTGAGGTATCAACTTTCCTTTAAAAAAATAATTATAGCAATCGTTTAACTTGGTCCAAAGTTACGCGATAACATATATAAAAAAATATATTCCAACGAATTGATAAACTCCTTTTTTAAGTCGGTTAAAAATATGCCAGAATGGGATTGAAAAGAACTCGAATTCAGGTCCAAATAGTGTACAACCTAATAAAAAAAAATATTACGAAATAAAATATGTATGAGTTATAACGCAAAACCATATATCTGAACAATCAGTTGTATGGGAGCTATATGTTATAGTGAACCGATTTCCATGATGTTCGCAAGTAGTTAAGGTAAAGTAAAGACAGTCACTTGGAAAATTTTAGAAAAATTACTTAAAAGCTGAGGGAATTATTAACAGAAAAGCTAAAATTTAAGCATATTTTCAAGTACCGCTATCTTGAAAACTGGAGCCAATCTGGCAAAAACTGGGAACGCCATTGAATTTAAAAGATCGCAGTTAAGGAAGATCAGCTATCAAAACCTATGCTCAGAGAAAAGTTCAAAACCGGAGCGCACTAAAACTTCCCTCCTAAATATCTCAGAATTTTGACGTGATACGGATTTTCTAAAACCGGCATCGTAATCTAGAGGCAAAAATTAAGTTTACGTGTTTGGTCGTTTAACCGTGATATTTCAAAACTTTAAAATTCACCTACAGTGTTATCATCTTCGAAATAAGGGTAAACAATTCAATTCAACAATAAGGAATCACCTTGTCTGAAACCTCTTCTGATATTAAACTGCTTTGAGTCACGCTTATGAATTGGGTAGAGTAGACTTAAATTCCAATGGGCAGGCGGTTCGCTCGATCGCTTCGGTATACTTCCAAATCATGATGATTTAAGTTCCCGAACACAGTGACTATTGCAGAAAACATCATGGATGATGAATTGGCTAGACAGGGCACTTTTGACGTAATCTCCCCTCACAGGGTATACTCTCCCTCCTAGCTCCTGTGACAACCTGTGAACTACTCAACAGATGCGATTTTTGTCGGCTATTGTTTCGGAAGAGAGGCGTTAGTTGAGTTGGTGTCTTGGGGTGAATCTCCACATGCTGGACACTCATTAGGTATATCGGGTCTGGATAAGTAGGTGTTGAGAGGACTACAATATACAGACCGTAATTGGGCCAGAGTTGCGCTCATCCATTGGTTGTTGTACAAAGCGTTTCAGATGCCTTCTAATATGCCTAGGTGGAGGTTCCGCTTCGAGCAAGTGTCTGTCCGGCTGGTTTCGGCTATTGCACCCTGCTAGAAACTGTTTGCTGAGCACTATGTTGTGCTCCCTTTGGGACTCACTGTGAATTTGATGTTCAGACAACATCAGCGGGCATCCCGTGGCTGCCCAGAGTTCTGTATTGAGGCATGTCTGTAGCTTCGTCCACTGCTTTCCACTTGTTCCCGGCGACCAGACAGCCGCTGCAAGGTCATTTTGGTCGGTGGCGGACCGTCAAGAAAGCTTCTTAAGCTGACCTAGCGCCTTATTTCCGTGCTGACAGGAGTCCAAATCAGACACAATCCTATTTGAAACGGTCTTAATATAGTTTCGGACCCCTTTTGCCCAGCTTTTAAGAGGATAACGAGGCGGAATCATCACAAAATTTTCTTCACCGTTGCCCTACTGCGCAAGACTAACGCGAGGCTGCCACATAACCTAACCTTAACTGACGAACTGGACTACATATTTCAAAAAGGTGACACTTCAATTGGCGCACCCGGTTTATAATTTTGAATATTTGTGTCTTAAATTTTAGCAAGACACAATATCTCAAAGAAAGTTACATGAACATTAAATAAAAAAAAAACTTAAAAAATATATTTTTTCGGGCCTTTTGGATAGATGATTACGAAATTTACAAAGAACCACGAATCTGAAAATTGCTTGTTTAGATTCTGAAATTTTGATTGTTTAGGCCGACATTTTATTCTGTATCCGCTGGTGGAGCCAGAGAGAAGTGGAATTTTTGTAAATATATGCATATTTGCTGCATTGTTATATGTATATATATATATATAGTTATACCACCTTAATTATATAAGGGTAAAATCTACTTGTATAGCGACTGCCACTTTGTCTACTAAAATTCAGAATTCGTTAATTAATGATTTCAACAAAACAACTACACTCATTCACTTCTTACACATTTGTTTTTTTCACACTCACTTGATAATAGCACTCAGTTTTATAGCGTTTATTTGAATCTGCATGTCGATGCTTCACGTAATTCATCCACACAGACATGCTGGATATCGTTTTGCATATACCGGAACGTTTAATACCCTTTTAGACAACCTTGCAACCTTTTTAATATTTT